GACTTGACAGAGGAATGTGGAGAGGCAACAAGAGTGATGACATGCAACAAAAGTTCCCAGTCAGAGCTGACCCACAGACATGTTGTGAACATGGCACTTTGGTCTTCATATCCAGGAGGAGGGCCCACAGATGGCCTTTCTTACATGATGAACCGGTGTGATTTTTAGCGACTCCATGTGAATAAAGTGAGTGAGATATCCTAGAGTGTGCTTTCAGGCACTATGCCACCTGCACCTAAATGTTTTAAATCATTGTTCTCGGTACTAAAGTGATTCACAACAGGAGTGACGCCATACAGGGGTGGTTGTTTATCTTTATTCTGCATTAGTCATACGTTTGATAAGAACAAGTGACTGTAAGTGTTCACATTCCTGTGCTTAGCCAATGTAAAAATGCAAATATGGAGTGGATATGTTGCTTTCTTGACTTATGTTTTTAACTCTCATATTTCAAAAAATAGTAATTTACTAAGTTAATTTCCAAAGTTCAGTACAATTCAGGTTCCTTTAGGCAGGTTGTGTCACATTAATGAACTGGATATATTGAAAACTTTAAGTCCCACCTTGCCTGCCTCATGGTTCCTTTATGTTTAAGTAGCTTTATCATTAGAGCCAGAGCAGGTGAGTCATTTCCTCTGTCCCCCTCATAACCTGAGAACGTGTCACCTCAACAAAGAATGGGGCACTTTACACGCCTGAAAACAAGGTCATATCCCCACTAATAAAGTCCACTACTCCCACAAAAAACAACAACAAACTGTAGAACATTTAAACAATCTCCTGTCTTCCTATGTGTTAACATTTGGACTACATCTGTTGTCTAAGCGAGGAATCTTTGACCCCTCCACTCCTTTATGCTGATGCTGGAAATGTAAGTTTATTTTATTGCTGCGTGATTTTACTGCTGTACTTAGGACAAATTTGATTGAGTTATGCATCAACCTCAGGTGCAGTAACTGTCAGACACTTAGACGTTATCAAATATTTCTCCCGTCATTAAATAAATCAGGTCAAGCTGTTCAGCAGGAAGTGTTATTCTCAAACCCAGAACAACATCTGGTTTGGTTAGAAAACCTTATCTCTTGTCCTCTTGTTATTTTGTCACTTAAGCTTCACGCAAACATTGTCTGCCTGTAAGAGTGGGTGAGCAAGCTGAACTGCTCTGAAGAAACTGGCTCTGCCTGCAGCTCCAGTCTGTCTGTCTGTCTCCTACACAAACACACATGTACAAGAAAACGTCCACTGCTCTCTCTCTGGACAGGTCTGATTACGCAGAATTATACGTCTGACAGAAAAATGTCTCTATTCTGCTGCAAAGGTTAAACTTCTTTTCCCGTCGGAGTCAAATGAAATGTGAAAGCAGTGTTGAAAACAAATGGTTAATATTTCACCACCACCAGGAAGTCATTCTCAAAAGTATGTCTTTCTTTTTTTGTCCTCACAGAAAACAACCTGCTGAATAACAGATGAATTTCAAGCAAACATGTTTCCTCATACCCAACCTAAAACAAACTTCACTGTGGTGTTTGGACTAAGAATATTTCCGCATCTACAGTATTTTTGTGAATTAAGAATTTATTTCAACCAAAATGAAGTTTGTGTTTGTCAAAGTATAAGATGAAGATGAACTAAGATGGTTCTGGTAAGTTGGTTCCCACCTGTGACAGCGTGTGGTTGGTGTGATCTTCACCTTGCGAGTCTATATATGTGAGTGTCATTATAGCAAAATGTGGTCCTGGAGACACAGCAGTGGTTTGGAGGACTCTGCCTGGTGCCAGTCCAGCCCTGTTTTGGCTGGGCCAGTGTTGTCTTGTCTGTATGATTCAGGTCAGTCTCATGCTGAGAGTTGAACTGTTGCCCCAGTCTCAGGTCATGTGCACTCAGGTGCTTCCTTTAGGCCCAGAGAGGTCTTGATGGTTCCATGCAAAACAAGGTAAAATATAATTAAAGCAAGTGAAAACAATGTTAATGACAGAATGCGTGCACTTAATTTATATCATAATAAGAAACTGTCAAAAACTAATAGTGTGTGCTGTATGAAAACAAAAGGCTATATGTACTGTCATTCCTTGAAATGTTTGTTTGGTAATAATGTTGAAAGGAAAATGGTGACGTTCAGGCGACATGTGGTGCAGCCACCACAAGGACCTCTCTGTACTTGGCTGCATTCATCATTCCCTCACTTCTGACCAGCTTCCCCGGTCTCTGCTGCTGAGAAGACAAACTCCAAGCAGGCTGCCATATTCCTTTTACTCTAAGTGTATTTCTTCTCACCACTGGACCATAAAGGCCTGATTGATCGAGTGCTGCTGAGATGGTTTTGTCCTTCCAGCAATTTCGTCCTTTTGAAGCTCTGTTTGAGTGGTACAAGCTGCTTGTCCACAGAGGAACACAGAAACATGAAACATACAGAAACATACAAACATGGCAAGGAACTAAAATATAGACTAAAGTCTGTGAATAATGTTGATAAGTAACTGGAGTGAACAATAAAAGAATTTGGATTTCAGGAGATGAACAATTTGCACTTACAAAACAATGTCCACAAGAGGCCAAAACGCTCTTTGCTTCCCGGAGGATTTATTGGTTGAAGAAAAAATTCAAGTCTTTGTTTTATTCAGATGATCGTGGAACATATTTTATTTATTTTATTTCCGTGGAACCAGGAGATAAAAGAGAAGCTGATAAAACTGACATCTGAAAGATGAATTCCCTGTTGCCCCCGCTTCACATTAGCCTCAGTGTTCATGTAAAATTTGATCATGGTCATCAGAAACAGTACCCAGATGTTGATGTGACAGTTTCTACATTTTCATTGTGTATTATACACTCTTTGGCCGCATCTGTTACATCTAAAATCAATGATCAGTTCTTTGATTCAAGACACATTTAAATCTAAGAAGTTATCACACCAAGAAATAAAGTCAGCAAGGCGTTCCCCCGGTCTGGTTCTGAGGAGAGTGTTTTCAGACTGTTCAACCAAATATCTGCCCCTCTGACGGCTCCTACATCCACAGGTATACACGCCCTTGTGGCGAGCCTGTGGACAAAGCTACAGAGTCTGAGAAACAGGCATTTACTTGATCCTCTGATCTCTGTCAGTGAAGAAGTCCAAGATCCATATTACAAGATGCAGCTGTGACTGTCGATGAGAAGTCTGCAAACAAAAGCCTGGTGTGTGTGTTCGGCTTTTCTCAGTGTTTATAAATGTTAAATAATAAAAAGTTTTGCATCCTCCACACTGCTCCTTACCTAATAAGCAAATTGCAGCGGATCCAGTTTTCACAGTTGACAGAGCAAAACAACTTTCTCAATGTTATTATTAGTGAAGTCAGGGCGACTGGTCTAAGATCAGTGGGATTGGTGTTCATTGGGACAGGTGTGACAGTAGAAGACTTCCAGATACCAGGGATCTGGTTACAGTCCAGTGACATCTGGAAAATATATGTGATATGATGTTGTTATCAGGTTCCTGGCAGATGACAAAATCACCATCAGAACAGAGAGACTCTCTAAGGAGAATATTTTCAAAAGAAACTCTGGAACGGTTGCTTGCCCATTTCAGCTGAAGCCCATTTGGCTGACCCAAAAAAAAAACATCTGAAAGCTGCTAAATGATAGTTTTGTGGTAAAATGAATAGAAAGTCTTTAATTTTTGAATTGCTTTTCATTTGTCCGTTACATTACACAAGTAACAAAACAATATTTGCATCTGCCTTTTAATTCTGAAGTTTTTGTTTTGTGAATTCACTTTACTTCCTTTTTCTTGTAAATATTTTCCTTTTTTCTTACTTCTTTCAAACACACTATGTAGAAAAGCACTGAAGCGGTTACCCTTCCATTTGCCACAAACTTGACTGAATGCCTAAATGAAGAAATATCTCACATCTTGTGAGAATATGTCTTGAGAATATGAGAAATTGTGTGTATATGTTATGTCAGCTATATGCATGAACAAATATATTCCAAAAGATCATTCACAGACAAATGAATGTGCAGTGTTGTGTTGGGTAGTGTGTAAAAATGTACAATCATAGATATAGAGCAAGTGAAAATGAATTGTAATTACACAAACTTTGGTCCCCCAAACAGAGGTAATGCATCATGTGTAGCAGATTTTTTGAAACATGTCAGTTCAAAATTAAGTTTTTAAGTGATTCCAGATTCCTTGTAATATTAGGAACTAGAATTACTGCCTCATGGCTGTCTGCCTCCACCACTCAGACTAGTTTCAGGTCACATCCCTTTTTATCCAGAGTCATATAAAATATGATCCATTTGTGTGAAATTCTGTCATAATTGCTGTGTGAAGTCTTGGGTTATGGCTAAAAAGTGTTTTGTGCAGTCACACTGACCTTGACCTTTCACCTTTCACCACCAAAATCCAATCAGTTCGTCCTTGAGGCCGAGTGAACATTTCTGCCAAATTTGAAGGGATTCCCTTTATGAGTTCCCGAGATACTGTGCTCACAAGGCCAAAACCATGTTTTGTGAGGTTACCATCACCTTGAACTTTGACCTTTGACCTTTGACCATCAAAAATCTAATCAGTTTACCCTTGAAGTTCAAGTGAATGTTTGTGCCATATTCTAAGAAATTCCTGTTCACAAAAATGGGACGCATGGACAACCCAAAAACATTATGCCCCCGGCCCAGACTGTAGAAATTGAGTATCAAGAAGACAAAACAACGTTTGGTCTGTTTTATGAGCTGCTAAACGGGGCCCAGTGCCTTCCAGACCACAAACAGAAAGCTAGGGTGAAAAACCAGTACTGTAACTTTGAATTGTAAAATGTAGATACAGATGTTTAAGCTTTGAATCACATCACGTCACACCGATACTGTTGCATAAGACTGTCCTCTACTGGTTAAAGCTCGTCACAGCAAGATCTTCTGTGCGGGTGTCAGCCATCCATCAGTTATAAACATGAATATAAAGTGTAACTATGTAAATATGACGTCTATGAGGAACACTCACTCACAGCGGATGAGACAGGTCATACAGAAAATGGGTTTATTTGTAATACAGCAGGATTTTGTTTGTTGTCTTACATCACATACAGAAGTCTCCATGCATTCAGCATTGAGTCATTTAGTCTTCACCGTTTTAAAATCTACTTGTGTAACTATAACGGTACAGAATGAATCATCAGAGGTTCTTTTTTTTTTCCTTTTTTTTTCGCACTGTTTATCATTGTTTCACAGACACAGTCTACATCAAAGTTTCTTTACACCCCAAAACAAACCAAAGAAATCTACCACCAAATATGAATCAAGTATACTGGCAAAACAAAGGATACTATAGGACAAAACCTTTGCCTAATCATCTCGAACTGTGGTGCAAAACCTGCCTTTTGAGGGCATAGAGAAATAAATCTGTAACTCATTCTTTATACTGTAGATAAATATATGTGACTCAAAAGCAGAAAACGAGCTGAGAGGAAAATCAATTTGAAGTCATTACTAAATATAAGGCCACAAAACCCAAATGATCAAACTCATGATTTAACATACAACAGATGCTGAATATGAACAATGCACTGATAAGTTGGTGGAGTGGATATACAGTAAGTATGTTGTACTGTCACCGGTGCATGAGTAGCAACACCCATGTATGGCACACAGATATAGTTTTATTGACAGAAATCTGGGGATTCTGCTGGTATCAGAGGTGACGCAGTAACTAGTCTGCTGTTCAGAGGTGAGTCGTGGACGTGCTGATGAATCTCTGCAAACTACAACACCCACATACTGATCTGCTTACCCTGCTTTCTTCCTCATAATTATGCCGACACATCACAGAAGTAAAGGAAAATGCATGTGAAATAAATATCATCACAGATCGATCAACAATATTCACATTCAGTAACACAGAGTTATCAGCGATAGAATCACCCCACCCTCGATATGCAAGTCGGAGACAAAAAAAAAAAAAACACAGAGCGAGAGCAACCTGATGCAGTTTGAATACTCACATGGACGCAGAACAAATCAGACAAGCAGCATCGGTGCAGGTCGTGTGTTGTGTTTATGTGCAGGTTTTCCTATATACTGCTTTCACATTAAAAGACCTTAAAGCTGAATATTCTGTTTTAAGCACATGTCGACAACTAATAAGCAGAAAGTGGCGGCTGAGTCAGTTTCTGCATTGTACTATAAACGGCACCAGAACACGATCGGGGCAGTTAGAGGAGATCTACAAACAGCGTCAACATCCATGCGGCTCAGAGGATGGTAAAGGTACGCAACGATGTCAGTGAGATCTACCGGGATGCATGCAGGTCAGGCAGTCGAGAACGTGTTGTGCGTTTTAAAATATTTTAAAAGGGCGGCTTCGACACACAGAGAGTAGAAAGACGCCACAGATATCAAAAGATTTCCAAAATGAGGCAGTAAGAGGACGTGTTGTTCATGATTAATACTATCAGGGGCACTTGCACAAACACATACAGTACACATGTACACACTTTATCTGAGTATCAAAGTGCTTCAGCATTGCTCACAAATGAAAAAGAAGAGCAAACCATTAAAGTGAGTTATGGTGACATGAATCTTCCCGCGATGATTGTTCTCAAACATGGCTCTGTTACCCCACAGGAGAGGGACAAAAACAAACAAAAAAACCCAAAACAAAACACAAAGTGCAACTGACACAGAACAGTTCTTTGCATGGATGACTGACAGCTGAAAGACACACATCAACACAAAGTCATATTTGACTCAATGCCGACTCAGTGGAGTCACACATGACTCAGCACAGCACCTAGAGACTAACACACAGTACATTGCACCTAAGGACAAGAGGTGGACACAGGAAAAGCAAGTGTCTGCTGTGATTGCTTACGGTTAGTGTGCGTTTGTGTGTGTGAGTGAGTGAGTTAAATATGGAGTATGTGAGAATCCGAATAGGAGCAGAAAACTATTACAAACCTCAACAGACTGAAAATGAAAGCCTAAAATCTCCCCCAGACCCCAAATCTTGCTTTGCACCTATCAACCAAAACCCTTGTGCCTAACCCACACCCCCATTCCCAAAACAAATAAAAAGGTGGACGGGTGTGGCTGCTGTTTCCAGTTTTCTTCTTACTTCTTGTTCTTGAGTTGATTGGCCAGCCAATCAAGACCCTCATAGAGCCCGTCACCACTGGTGGCGCAGGTAGCCTGGATGTACCAATTACGGTGACGCAGGGAGTGTAAGCCCAACTTGTCTGTGATCTCGGCAGCGTTCATGGCGTTTGGTAAGTCCTGTCAAAGAGGCGAGAGGTCAGTGAGGAGAAAGTATTGCCCCTCAGTTTATGAAAATCAAGGATTAGTGATAAGGCTTGTGTTTGACCCTAAAGACAGGACAGCTGGTGACTTGTTTTATTGTTGGGTTAAATTATGCATTTACTATGGATATGTCTGTACATATATGTATATGTAAATTAATTATTTGATAATGCAATTGACAGGAAATTCCTCTGCAGCAATTAAAACAATAATTTAAATAATCTTTCCAGGAAATATAACAAAAATTCTCTGGTCCCAGTGTTTTCTCACTCAAGACAACATGAAGCTGTTGCCTTGGGCCCTGTGAAACTGTATTTAGAGAGGGCATTTTTCACATTTATTAGACCAACAATTTATCAATTAATCCAGGAAATAAGTGGCATATGAATTCAAAATGACAATAATTGTTACTTGAAACCCTTGTAAAGTGTTTGCAGATATATGGTGTAAGATTAAATGGTCAATTTTTAAGGAATATTTCAGTGTTGTTGTTTTGGGAAACCCACTTATCTATAACCCTAACTTCATGAAGGTTATGATGCTCAGTTTTATCAAAACTGCGTTAAAGAGCTGTTGATTCAACTGTGTGATCATTTTGGAAGATGTAGTTTGTGGTACTGCTGAGCTGTATTACAGTATACAGAAAAGTGTTTCTGTTATTTAGCCCACACTCTGATATAAATGAGGTGGACAAAATAATACAAACACCTGTCTGTTCATTTCTGTAGTGTGTAAAAAGACATTGTGGTTTCACAGAGAGTTGTGTGCTGGACTATTCTTGAATCATTCTCGCGGGTTTCCAGTTCTTATGCAAAGCTAACCAATGTACACACATGACAGTGGTATCAATCCTCTCATCTAACCCTTTAGCGATAACGTGATACACACATGACGCTAAATGTCAAACTATTCCTTTGAGCTTTAGTACGTGATCATCACAAAGCAAACGACCACCATTAGAAACATAGAGAGACTTAATAACGGGACGGTATCAATACACTGTCGACTTAGTAAAAAAGCTGGCCTAAAATCTATCTCTAGTGAAACTGCAGAGTATGGGTTTTGCTAGAGATGAATTATGTTGAGAAAGTTGTTAGCAGAAAGATTTTTAATACAATTATCACCTAAACTTTGTAAATTCAGCAATAAGACTGAAATAGAGCTGAGATAAATAAATAAAAAACAAAAATAAATCAATTAATTGACTGACAAAAAAATTATATCATATTTGATAATCAGTTAATCGTTTCAATAACTTGATTGGTGTTAATGGAGGAATTCTTAACGTTTGTTATAATTTAATATAATAGTTATGATAATATGATAGTTGTTTATCTATTTCATGTTACCTTTACGTTATAGTTCTTGTTATTCTTGTTCACTGTTCAGCCCAGTCCTCGTTTTTAATTTCCCTTTTCATAGACCTGTATGTCATGAATTCGGAAGGATACACCTTCCCCTGTAGTAAATAATTCTATCATCTTAAAGCAGAAGTTGAATTTTGCCTTAAAAATAGAAGGGGAAGTAGGTTTATCTGGATTAACCCCAAACCCTCCACCACAAGCCTGTTTTTTATTCATATGTGCTGTGTATGCGTGTATGTGTGTATATACATGCAGAACAGTAATGGTTTCTTGCCTGTTTATTGGCAAACACAAGGAGGACTGCATCCCTCAGCTCATCCTCAGCGAGCATCCTCATCAGCTCCTCTCGCGCTTCGTTCACACGCTCTCTGTCGTTACTGTCCACCACAAAGATTAGACCTGAAACAGTGAGGGGAACACGCTAAGTCAAATATTTTCTAAGGAAGAAAAGCAGTGTTCTTGCCTTTAAGCTGGCATTACCCTCTGATTAGCTCTGCTCACCCTGTGTGTTTTGAAAGTAGTGTCTCCAGAGGGGGCGGATCTTGTCCTGCCCACCCACGTCCCACACAGTGAAGCTGATGTTCTTGTACTCCACCGTCTCCACATTAAACCCTGGAAACAGGAGCGGGGTCATACAAGCACATGTATGCAAACATCGTGGTCTATCATTAGTGTGCATGAAGATATTTTACTAGTCTGTTCACCTACCAATGGTTGGGATTGTGGTAACTATTTCCCCCAGTTTGAGCTTGTAGAGGATTGTTGTTTTTCCTGCAGCATCGAGCCCCACCATCAAGATCCTCATCTCCTTCTTTCCGATGAGGCTCTTCAGCAAATTTCCAAAAATGTTCCCCATGATTCAGATGAGGTTTTTAAACTTCAGTTTGCGGCTACAATCGTGATGCTAGATGTCAGTCTTGGTTGTTGAGCAGGGACAAATTACAAAGGAGGGCTGAAAGGAAACAGAGCAAATGAACATTTAGTAATACTTTAATGTGTGTTGCTACACTGCAAGGAAAATGAATGACATTGGTCTAAATTATTAACACGTTAGAATAAAGACAGAATTGTTGATAAGTTAAACAGTCTGTACGGCTTTTGTTAAGTTACAGTAGTAGAAATGCTCCAGCCAACCCCCTCTCACCATCCTAAAAAACACTACAGCACCAGAAAATCTCACCTCTACATGCAGTTCCCAAAACAGGTGCAAAGCTACGCTAATCGCCCACAGTCATCATCACAGAGAGGGTGAATAAGATTCATGTCAGTGCCATGACTCCAGGCTACAGCACAATCTGTTCAGACCCTTCTTGCTGTTTTTTTTTGTTTTTTTTTCTCGTTCAAATGTTAGCCTGCAACAACGCCAAGCCCTCAGAGCACACACAAAATGTCCTACATTACGAGGCCCGGCTTGAATATGTTCAGTAAAACTCTTCCACCAAGACACATGGTCTAAAACACAGACAGTGACTAAAGAAGACTAGAGGATGCTGAGCAGTACCTCTGAACATGTTAAAATTAGAATCTGCACAACTTGCAACACCTTCTGTCTTTACACCCTTGATCTGGATAATGAAACACTTTTCAATAGTGGAAACCTTTTGATATAAAGTCTATGGTAGAAATAAAACCTTAGGAAGAGCAACAGAGGAGGGATCCTTCTTTGAGGGTGGATAGAGGGTATCTATTTATCACTCTCTATATATGATATACATAGAGAGTAGAGCATAAGCAGAGACAACAACAGGAAAAATACATTATTGGGAAAGAGAATGACAATATTAGGTGAATGAAGTGCAAAAGATTTGTATAAAACATATGGATCAGAGAAGATGTCAAGCAACTTTTGGGTGCTGCATAGCACTGGTACGACCAGTCAGTGGCCAGAAAGTTTTTATATTGTCAACACAGGATACAAGTAAAACATATAACATATACAAAGTACACACTGCACATCTTTCCTACTTTTCCAAACACTGATGAGTTATTGCTCATTGTTGTTGCTCCTGTCTTCTAAATGTACAAATACATTGTGGTATATGCTGAAACATGTGCTGTTTGAAAAACCACACATATTCTGAATAATACAGTAAGTTTTCTTATTTTTCCAGTGAGGATAAACACAGTGGTTCCGTTTCTATGTATAATGCATCTCATGCCATCCTTGTAGTGAAAGTGCGTTGATTTAATTGTCCTGCAGACTCAACAAAGTGAGAAATAGAAGCTAAAAATAAAATGAAGACATCAGTAGAGATGAGCTGCAGCCCTGTCCATGGTGCTGAAGAGCATCAACACACCGTCACTGCCTGACACCAGCTCCTCCAACACACTCCGTTTCACTAAATATGATCTTCCAAATGGTGATGTTATCTGGCAGCAGGGCCGCGACATACCGGTGTGATAATGTTCACTCAGCCCCGGGTGACTCCGGTTACGTTAGCCGGGGATGCTACGGTAGGTAACGTTACCGCTATCCTTTCGTTATTAGCCGTTAACGTCGGCCCCGCACACCCCACCCCCACCCCACCCGCTTCAGCGAAAGATTCACGCTTCATTTCGACACACAAGCTGGATAATTCTCTCATTACTGGATCTGCTCTACACTCATTACTTGGTCTCTTTTAGCTGTAATCGCTGAGTCGATGAGACATGACGGTAGCTAGCGAGTATCTACCGTCCTCATGATCCACCCCATTCATCCATCCTCAGCGGGCATCCTGCTGCCAGCGAGCCGTCCACTGCTGCTTCAGGCCGGACAACACTGAGGCTACACAACCACCACTGGACAAACATCAAACACACTATTATTTTATCACCTGCTGGGACCTACGTGTATATTATCGGGTTGATGGTGCTGCCAGTGTCCTCACTTACCTTAGCTGAGGAGTCCTCTACTAAATGTCTCACGATATTTTCCGGGGGACCACTCAGCAGTAAACGAGATCTCGCGAGAGTAGATGTCAAAACCAAACCAAAATTGTTGTCCTGGTTTTCTTTAAAGGACGCTTGAACAACCAGGTTTTGTTCACGAACTAACATATATATATATATATATATATCAGTTTTCGGAACACTTTCACCTCAGTCCTGATTTGTGTTAGAAAATACATACGAATATTTTCATATATAACAAACAGTGTCGCAGTTAAAAGGCTCTGCACAGGTCAGTGACTCTAGTCTCCCTTGTTTTTATCACTGGACCATACACTTATATCTCCACTTTGGGCTCTATTCCAAACCCATTGTACACTTCAGCCCGGGCTGGATTAACCCCAGCTGACCACTATTACAATTGTTTTGGGGGGATTATAATATTTTAAAGTCACTTCCCATGGCATTATATAACTGGAATCTTTTCAATAGTATAATTTGTATATTTGCAGGACAGGGTCACATAACAATCACAATACAAACTTCTGTGTGGCATCATTAGCTTACCTCATTAAAACACTGCAAACCATCTGTCATGGCTTTCCAAGAGATGACCAAAAGCTACACACTTGCTTTACCAAATTATAATAAATTGTATGATTGTGCAAATAGCATTAAGTTTAGCAATGATGCGTTAACGATTGGTTGTGGAGATAAACTAAAATTACCAGAAAAAGAATTTTGACATCCGGTTATATAAAGTTCCTGTTGTATGTATGGATTTCAGGAAATAGTAAAATGGTCCTCCGTATAGCATAACTCTTGTTAAGTATAAATATCGTTAGTAATATGTTCATCCAACAGATGAACAAAGTAACGTTTCTAAATTGAAGTACTTGAAATAACTTCAATAATTAGTATGAAATACTGCATAAAAGAGAGTGTTTCAGTGTAGATAGAGAGATAGATGACAGGGCAAAATCATAGATTAAAAAAAATATTGTGGTTTTACCAGCATACACTTATCTACCTCTGTGATCTGAGGGAGGAGGCAGGTTTTATCTTTAGTTGGCACACAAAGATGAGTCATTCATTTCTATTTCTGTGCTGCACTTTGACGATGTTTTAATGTACTGTTCTTCATCATACACGTGTTTCAATACGGGGACTTTGAATTTTCAAACATGGTGCCTCAGTCTTGATATTTGTTTTAGGTGGCACGAGAGCTTAATACTAATCTTACTTCTCTCAGCATCAAAAACCATCCTTTGTCTAATATGACCATGTGGCACAAATACTGCAATCTGTGCTAGTCATACTTCCTTGATATCCTGCTGGCAAACAGCAGATTTTGGGGTTCAAGACAGTTGGTGATTTAAATGTTTGTAGTTTTGCAGAGCATTGTTGAGTCCTTGGGTGAATACGTCACCGCTTCCTTAATACAACAGGTTTAGTATAGCCAGGAATCTGTCAATCTACCAATTTGACATGCATGACTCTGAGTTTGACATTTTAAGTGATGATGGAGGAAAAGTGGAGCGAATTATAATGTTGTGATAGCATCTCATCTTTACCAATTCACATAGTGTTTTTGCATTTCTAAACTTGCTGTAAGCTAGCAGACATTTAGGTTTGCTGAATGACCCATGTGTTAATTAAGCATCACAACTATGCTTCCTGACATGCTGACATTTCATGCCCCTGTAAGAGGGCTTTATGTCAGACAGTGCTCCTACATTCAGTCTAACTGAAACTAAAAATAAGTGATGAAAGTGAGTCATGGGTGAATAAAACCAGTCTTGTTTTCACCAGCAGTGATGCATCTGTTCTTACTAAATAAACAAATCTATAAGAATTAAGTATGTGTTGAATATAGTACAATTAATCAACTTTGAATTTGTCCACAAAATATATACTATATATAAAATATATACATATGTTTTATAGATACTTTTTATTTTAGTTTCGATTGGACTTACATTGGTTGTTTAATACCACACATGCAGGGATAAACGAAAGCTTTAAAACTAGATTTTAATTTAAGGCCCCTGTAGAAGAAGGGGCCTCAATAATGCAAGTTTCACTTTAAGGCCCCTATTATTTTTATTTATATTGTGACTGAGTGGTGCACACAGTACCAATAAATAAATAATAATCAAATGAATCAAAGTACCATAAATGAATACTCATGTGGTGAACCTGGAGCCCCTGGAAGGTCTGAGTCACCAGAGAAAAAATCCAGTCTGCCTGCTCTGTGTGTGATAGTTCATCAATATAACTAGTTGTTTACAAACATGTTTACAAAGAGTGGGGTTATATTCAAAGTATAGTTATATGATTTTAAACACCCTGAGAACTTGAACAACATGAAAACATTTATAACCAAACAGTTTAAGTGATGTGTTCATTCATAGGTAGGCTATTTGTTCTAGCTTTCTTCAGTGGTTTGAAGCAGGTGGGTTCATTTGGAAAAAGGTGCTATCACATGTTTTTATGCATCAATCAGATTTAGCAACTTTTGAATCAAAATCTGATGAAAGTTGTTTCTTATGTTGGACATGTACACAGTCCTGGTGAAGCAGATCCGCTGAGTGTTAAATATTAACTATTTTCCCCCCAAACTTGAACTTATTGTTGTCTATTAAGCCATGAATATTTATTGCTGTGGAGAAACAATATTTAAAATAAGTTTTTAGGGACTTTGACATCACTTCCGAGTTGAAGTCGCCTTCTCATCATCTTAACATTTCTGAAGTCAGGACCAGTGGGCTAGCGAGGGGTACTATGGCAGCGACGTGGCGTCTGTGCAGCAGGCTTGAGCAGGGCACGTCTGCTTCTAGCAGGCTCCAGCATGGAGCAGCGGAGCCGGTGTAGATCAGAAGCTGCACAGCACCGCCCCCAAGCGTCTCTGCAGAGCGCCGCTTCCGCTTCCCACCCACAGCAGCCTGATGGGATGCGAGCGGAATGTATGAGGCGGGCTCTTCAGGGAGACCCAGGTGTTGGGACAACGTCCACGGACTGCTAGTCCTTATCGCTACAGTATTATAACACATCAGCATTACTTGGTGCTAAGCCATTTTGGACTGAGAGGTCGACGGGCATACTGTGCAGCTCGGCCTCTCTCTCTCTCTCTCTCTCTCTCTCCCTTTCTACTTGCTGTGTGTAGAAGAAGCATACACGGAAGTTGTTGGATGGCAGCTCTTTTCCAGAAGTTCACAATGAAGACCAGCGTTTTTCTGCTCCTGCTCGCAGCTTTCACCTGTGGACTCGCACAGGGAGAAGAAAATGCAGCCGAAGAGCTGCAGGTGGAGACCTTGGTGAGTGGGACACGTGTAACAGTCATACTGCAGTAAAACAGCGGCTCTAATACATTAACACGCAATGATAAATACATGCAACAGTGTTAACAGTCAACTCTTCTGACCCAAGGTGAAACCCGAAACTTGCTCTGTACTTTCCACAATGGGAGACACGCTGCAAATCCACTACACGGTAAGACAAATAAACAGCAACTTATTCATTGTCAACTACACGAGTTAAACAATCCAGCCCGGTGCGCGTGCGTCGGACAAAGATCTGTAGATCTGAAGGGCCCAGCTGATGACGAATGCAGTTGTTGTCAATGTGGCACCGTCTGCATAAAGCATGTGCACACCGCTGATTATGCATTTACACACTGACAGTGGATTTGAATGATAAACAGACCTGCAGCTGGGAGAGACGGTCCTCTTTGACTATGGGACAGATAGTGATTTTAGTGCGTATATGCGTGTGTGGTTCATATGGTTAAATGTAATGTGTGAATAGGTCGATTCGGCTTTTACTATGGAGTGATGGGGCGGTGCAACACGTCAGCAGTAACAGGACTGTGTGTCAGTGGGCAGCACTTCGTCCATGCATTATACTGGAGGCTCTGTGGTTTCCAGTTTCCACACGCGCGTTGATCTTCAGGAGTTTCAAAACTCAAAGTTTGATGATGTGAATTTCAATAACAAAATGTGTAATGACAGGTAATTTGCACATTTGCTGCCATATCATACACAGTTAGTTCCAACATGTGCCTCATTATTACACTGGAGCCACGGAGCTCATCATCTGATTTTCCCCAAAAATACACAAAAGGTAATTTAATAAAACGTATGGAAACATTCTGTAGGCTGCTGAAACTTTTTCCTGAATCCCGAAAGACTCTTCTAGCCATCCGGTTGAAAGAATATGCTGTGTATTGCGCCATAAAAAAAGAGTTAGTTAATTAAATACGAAATAACATTAATATAATATTAACACGTTACTATTTTGCTTGTGTTTTACAAAAAGCACATAGAAATAGAACATTTTCTGTCTTGATACCTGGAGAGGAAATACAGTCCTTACCTGAAAAAACCTTTTCCTTGAAGATTTATGAAATACCTTAAGAACAGCTGTAAGGACAAAAAAAAAACTTCAGGTATTTCGGTATTTTCCGGAAAATCTGATGCTTAGTTGTGTAACTCGAAAGTAATCATATACACAGAGGCACAGACTGTGGCTAAAGCATATAGCACACAGTATGAACAAAACACATACAAAGTAATATTTACACTAGGTCCCTTTTAGTCACCTTGGCAACAACTAGTCTTCCTGGAGTCCATAGTAAAAAAATACACAATATAATCAACAAATGCTTACACATATACTACATACAGTACATAATACACACAGCTGCAATATCACCATTATACCAACATAATAAAACAACAGAACCAAATTCAATTTCCAACTGAATATTACATAGAATGTGAGAAGGGAATAAGCAAATTTAATGAAACCTAACCTGATCTAAATGTAAATGGACTTGATTGTCTCAATCACCTAACCTACCACAGATGCTGGGACTGTCTCTGTCTCTGGGCAGCAGCTTGGCCTTTCCATTGCACCTGTCACTAATAAAGCATCTACTAAGAGTCCAGTTAGACTCAGAGTGGTTTATAAACAAATCTCAACAGATTTAGGAACAGTTAAGACTTTAATTAATGACACAGATGAGACAAACTCTGATTGCTAAATTTATGTAGAAGCTGCCTATCTTTCAACGCTGTGGCTTACATTATCAAAAGCAGAATTACTGTATGATAAAAATTAATTCATTCAGCTCTAGCCAATAGTGCATCTATGTATATAATTTCTAATATAAAAGATAAAATATTTCAATTATTTTATATCCACCTTATTTTTATTTCCTATTTTGAGTGTACACATGTTTACACACACATTTGTTTTTTAAATTGTTTTATCAAAAGTGCAAAACTATAGATGTTCAAAATGTTTTGGAACAGCACTGTTGAAAAGTAAAAGTAAACACGTCAAAACCACAATATTTTTTGCTTTCTTTAAGTAATAAATAAATAAAATTAAGCCAAATTCGCTTCTTAAAAGCATGCACCAAATACACAAAGAACTCAAAAATTAACAGATTTAAACTAACTGAGCTGCAATATATCTTTGAGTGGCTTTTCATTTATGTCATTGCCTCATATTTCTCAATCTATGTTTCATTGTTCAGGGTAAACTGATGGATGGAAAGGTGATCGACTCATCATTGTCCCGGGATCCTCTTGTTGTTGAGCTGGGGAAGAGGACAGTTATTGCTGGTAAATTAACAAATAATAGTTTTGTCAAGGCTTTGTCAAGTTTTGTTGCTCAGTGAGTAACAAACTTGTTTACATTTGAGAGATAACTGCAGCCTGTTGTGTGGCGGAGAATGTGCTTGCTTTGCTGATTTGCTGATTTTCTCTGTGTGATTTTCTTATCAGGACTGGAACAAAGCTTGGTTGGCGTGTGTGAAGGGTAAGCGAAAAGTAAAGGTCCACTGGGAGGAGAAAGCTTAGCAATGGATTCAGTTTGAAAAAAAATACCAAAGTTAATGGTTTTGTGATAGAATCTGAGAAACGGCTCCTCAGTAACGGCGTTTTGTATTTCTCATTCTCTCATTCAGGCAAAAAATCAAAGCCACTATTCCCTCTCACCTTGCATATGGAAAAAAGGGTTACCTTCCTACAATTCCAGGTACTGAGCACACGAATTAACGCACACTGAGAGACACCAGGGGTTGACTGAGGATTTGAGAAACTGCACCACTACACATACAACACAGCAGTGTTAATAAGAATACTTTCATGTACATATGTGTAATTTTATGGCACACATATGCAGACGCCTATAGAAAAATCAAATTGATGTTGAATGCAATAAACTCTGTTCCAACACTGCAGTATAGTCACCATCAATGTGCAGCTCTACACAACTAAGTATGATCACATATATTTAACATTAGCACAATCACATAGAACATTTGTTTTTAGGATGAGGCTGATATTAAAATTTTTTAAATGTGGGGAATACAAAGTACAAGTACAAAGTTTCATGTTTTTAGTGATTTCCTTAAACAGCTGCAGTTTTTAGTGTAATTGTTGGGGACTACTTTCAGCTGTGAATTAATACACAATAGTGAGTAATTACATCAGCGGGATGGTGTATGTGAGAATGAATCAAAATTATTGAAAAAAAATAAATGAATAAACAGTTAAGTGTTTTCAATAGTTTTTTTAATCTTTTTATAGGATTTTTTTCTTGTTGTAAATAGTATTTATTTACAACAAGAAAAAGATAAACTATCACTTGAATCACGCTGTAAATATATGTTGGTGACCCTTTTTTCTTTTTTAGATGTCATGTAATATTATATATTTTAAAATAACAAAAAATACTAGCAAGCATTTCGCTTCATGTTGTACGTATGTAACTGTGTATTTTTACAAAACAATGAATCTAACCTTGATCTGTCCAAGGTGATGCTGCTCTTGAGTTCGAGGTGGAGGTGATTTCTCTAACACAGCAAACACCGTGGCAGAAAATGGTCAACGACGTGTTCCCCCTCGTGTGTTTGGCCCTGGTCCCCACTCTGCTCGGCTTGGTGGGACTTTACCTTTACAAAAAGGCCAACTCCCAGAAGCCTAGCAAAAAGAAGGCAAAGGATAAGAAGATCAAGAAGAAATAAGGACAAGGCACAGAACTATTTAAATAAACATTTTTTTAATTGTATTTTTTTCTTCTTTGTGTTCATTTAGTACTAATACTTGCTTTTAATAGATATACTAAGACCTGGAATTACTGTCTTCTGATAATACAACTGTTAACTTTTGAGGTCAGTGTTTAGGATATGTGTTGTACCATTAACAGCTTCACTAACAGTGGCATTTCTCAGCACTAACAGAGAAATTGCAGATTCATGAAGTTTAAGAGCTTGAAGCTGGTGTCTCCTGTGTCAGATTGTGTATTACCAGAAGCAGCAGCTGCCAAAAACCCAATAAATCTGTACAAGTCATCACCACAAGCAGAGAGATTAGACTTAATCATTTATCATCAGTGTGTTTTCCTCCTCTCTGCTCCTTTGGAAGGTGGCTCGAAAAAAGAAAGACCAACAGCAGATGCTAAAAACAACTGAATGAATAACTTGTAATACACCTGCTTATTTTGCAACTCCTTCATCTCTATGTCACAATGCATCTCTTTCTTGGTCTAGCTTAAGAGGAGAGGGAGATGTTTGAGACTTATTTTAGAGGAGATGGAAAAAAATTGGCCCCATTTGTACTAATGGCTTCACTGTCAATTTGGCTGTAGAGATGTTAAAAATCACATCCTCCAAATAGATATACAGCAACAGAAACTCATCATCAACACAGCACAGTCCCATTGTTTGACCTGATAAGTGTAAAACACTTATATACATGTGTAGTCTGTAAAGGTCAGCTTTTTCTTCTTTTTCTACTCTAGCCAAGTATTTCCAGTACAATTCAAACCATGGGTGAAAAAAAAAACATTTGACATTTTCACCTTTTGGTGAAAATCATATGGCCAATAAAACCAAGAGAACGAAGTAGGCTGATTAATTTCACATTTAAGGTCACATATTAACATAACATTTTTTGCTAAAAAATATTCATATTTTAATTCATTGTATCCTGTCGATGTTAGTAAAAGAACTGAAGAACATAGGTGTACTTGTTTTATACACGGCGTTGCTCGACGGCACAGCCCTTCTCTGGATTATCACAGTAATGGAGCGCTGCGCTCAATCCGGTGACGTTTGGATAGAAATATATGTACACTGATATCCCTCCGCGAATACAAGTTTGTTAATGTTGTTTTCCGTAGTTATTTGTATGTAGTTATTTTTTAATTTTAACTGTAAACCAAACATAAAATATTTTAGATAATAAAAATAAAACATAACATCGATTAGCTAGCCTTCTTAATATAAATATTTAGAGGGCGGAGCGGATTGCACTACTTCTCGCGGTACAACCTCTTCCGGTCCTCTTTCCAGCTTCCCGTGCAACATGGTGAGTGTCTTTCAGTGGCGGCCGTATGGCAAAACCGAAATAAATTGATGTTTTATTCGAACATTCATACTTTATCGTATCTTTTTAGGTACTATAAACAAATTGCTCAACACGGTGTGGGGAATCGGTGTTAGATGTTGGTCAAATTGATTAAAAAATGAGTCTGGGCCTAACGCTAGCTGTTAGCAGGCTAGCCGTTTTGTGCATGTGTTCCTGTGAACCAGGATAACGCCGCTGTTGAAGTGCGGTCAAATACATTGGGGAAAATATGGGTTAAAATACATGTGTTACTCTTTCGTCGTGTCCTCCAATACGTAAGGTAAAATACGAAACGTGAAAGTACACATTGAACAGTAGCCTCGAAACACCGCAGCCAACCCATGCGTTTGATGATCCACTGTGTGTTGAGTCTTGCCTGCAGTACAAGAGACGCAAAGTAATGGCCTGTGTTCACCCAACAAAATACTGATACAGCGTGTTGTAAAGTGAGTTTATACCGTCATGGCATAAACACTCTAAGTATGACTAATTGGGATGTTTGAGCGTGAGCTTACGTGTGTATCTTTATTCCTCATTTTCTGCAAATGGTGGAAGCGCGTTATTGAAAATTTACATTTACAGTCGTTCATGTCTAAATTAAGTTTTTTCAAAATTGTAGAAATTGAAACTGCTGGCTAGTGGCTACAGTTGCAATGATTAGTTGACATTAAAATAGAAGCATTTTGACAATCATTAAATTTTACTAAAATGTAAATGCAGTTTGCAACCACGTGAAGATGTTTGGCTTTTCAGTTGAAAATCATAAAACTAAATGTCTTTGGGGGTTGGACTACTGGCCATTTGAAGGTGTCATCTTGGACTCTTAGAAACTGGGATTTATAATTGTCACCATTGCCTGGCAGCTGGACAGATTGACTAATTAAAATAATTAATAGCTGTAACATTACTTTTGCTAATGTTTTTGGAATGTATTTTAATCCATGCCTTTCTTTTAATAGCTAATATCAATGATAATTTTTCTGCGAACCATTTTTCCCCTAACAAAAGATACTGAACTTATGTTGTATAAGCACAATCAGATCACATTTGCTTTAGGTGCTTTATAGTTTTTGATATTTAATGATCATTTGATGAATTTCTAGGCTGTTATGTAATATGCACTAACTGTGGCCTGTTTTACAGACTAAGAAGAGGAGGAATAACGGTCGTGCCAAGAAGGGCCGTGGGCACGTGCAGCCCATCCGCTGCACCAACTGTGCCCGTTGTGTCCCCAAGGACAAGGCCATCAAGAAGTTTGTCATCAGGAACATAGTGGAGGCTGCCGCCGTAAGAGACATATCAGAGGCCAGTGTCTTTGACTGTGAGTGTATTTTTGCTTTGTTTTTTTTTTAATTTCACACATCATGAAACTCTTAGTATATTTTTTTTGTCAGCATGTCCTCATCTGTACTTGTCTCCTGTGTCTGCTTTGCAGCTTATGTTCTGCCCAAGCTCTATGTGAAGCTGCACTACTGTGTCAGCTGTGCCATCCACAGTAAAGTGGTGAGGAACCGCTCCTGTGAGGCCAGGAAAGACCGCACCCCACCACCCAGGTTCAGACCCACGGTGAGCACCATCCAGAACACTGCCCTGAGTGTTTACTGAAGTCTTGTGCTGCTGGATAATTGGACTAGTCATAGCAGGAAAAGAACAAGTGAAACCAATAATGTTAATGATGTTTATGTTAATGTGAAACAAGCAAGTATGCACAATATTGGAGCACCAGGTCTCATATGCCCAACTTGATGTAGTAATTAATGTAATTGGTTACACCTGTGTTTGACAATCAATAAGTCACATGGCTCTAAAACTGTCTTTTCTCTTTCACAGGCTGGTGCACCAAGAGCTAATCCAAAGCCTATGTGAAGCAGGTTTTGAAGATGCTGTACACCTGAGGAATAAAGTCAAAAATCTTTTGAAAAAGTTGAAAGTGTGAAGCTCATTATTCTTAACTGACTGTGTGCTGTGTAATTGTAGGAGAAGACAGGCCTGTCAAGTATTTTATTTGGAATAGACTTTTACAGTACAAAACTTACAGTAGTTTAAGATCAAATTACGCAAAAGCATAATTACATATGATACATTTGAAAAGGCTCTGCAGTTATTTAAAGCGATATCAGACCATTTATAGGGGGGGGGGGGTTAAAGAGTAAAACTCAAGGGAACAAATAGTGCAACAAGGAAAACATTTGAACACAAAATACCACAAAACTAGTTAGTTTCTTTTCTTAAGTATAGTCTTGTATGGGAGTGGACAGTCTATTTGGTTGTCCTTAAGAATACAACAGAAAGGTGACTGGGGTGTTGGTTGAGGAGCAAACAGCATTGGTACCACATGCATCAGATTTAGAAGCACATTACTGCCCAGTGTAGCACAGAAATAAAAATGTCCAAACTCAGCCTGTGAAGACAAAAGGGGCTTTAAGATGGTGAATGTGCACCTGCTTTGATGAAGAACTTACATAAACTGGGGTGCCAAGCCTTTCTTAATATACTGTCACTCTAAAGTTCAATATAATGGTGGTGGGTTTAGGTGTACAAGATATTTTACACAATTAATTAATCTAAAGTAATTTCTTTGGCTTCTAGCTGCCAGCATTGCCAAACTTGTTCTGATGGATCTATGATCATCAGTTGTAAAAATGGCCACTGATCACTTGTTGGTTTAGGTGTGTTCTACACCGTTGGTGAAAAAAAAATTCAAAGATGACCAAAATAATGTGGAGCCTTTTTTAACGTGCAGTACTTGCACCACAGGATCAACAAAATAAGTATCACACTTAAAATTTGAGAATTTAAACTGTTGAGGAAAATGCAGAAAAGACCTCAGGCCAAAGGCACAATAGCAAAGTCTACTACACACAAATCACACCAACTGGAGAAGAATCACACCTGGGCCTTCTTTATTTTTTTTGAGATAAGTTGTTGCCTAAATCAGAATATACAATGTAAAGCAGGGTCTAAGATGTAATTGGATAAAAATATTTCCTTGCTCATGCAAACTGATGTGGCAATTTCAGTGATTTGTAATGACAACTTTGGTGTCAAATCATTTACATTTAAGTCACACTAAATGTCTAGATCAGGCTGCAGAAAACTACATTTGAAGAGTCTGATTAGTTTACAAACCAACTACTGTCCTAACATGACTTAACAGTCTTTATTCTTCTATTAAGGGAAGATAATCTGATTTTTAAATTAAATTATTACTTTGGAAAAAACATTTTTAACCACCTGTTTAGGTTTGTGTGTTTCTATATTGGTGACAAGATCACCACACTGCATTGTGCCAACAACAGATTTTCTCTTACATCTCATACAGCAATGTATAACAAAGCCAACTTTCTAATTATCCCTCAAATAAATGTATTTCCACTCAAGAACTTGAAACAAAAGTGAACCGAGGTATGAAAAGAAAATAAGATTTTATGTCGTAGCTTCTGCATGATTTATAATGTATGTACAAATTAATTTACTTGAATTTTTCTTTTTGTCACTTCCCTTAATAGGGAAAAGTGCTTAACAGTAGGAAGTACTGGCTCTTTGGCTCAGCCACGAGGGAACCATTATTTGGTGCTATACAAAACCACACTCGCTGTCTAAAAATTATATGAAAACCAAGTAATTTATTATTCCCTGTTGTAAAAACTATATTTTGGAGTTTGCACATTTAGACCACTACTTATAGTGTGAGAATCCATACAAGATTAAATTTAATACATGACAGAACTAAGGAACTGTTCCCAGAGCTAATATGTCCATTTAGAGCCTTTAGTAGTTCAGTTGCTTCTGTTTAGACTGCAAAAGACTTGTGAAAAGCAACATTTATTTAAGCTGAAAAGATCTACCCTTTATTAAATAATGTCAAAATATCAGTTCTGATAAACACATATGGGATAAATTTAGTTCCATAAGCCATTTTGTGTGCAATTTAAAAGTTAATGGGCTCAAGTCAACTGATGATTTTTACCATTTTCTTCAGGTTTTTTGGATAGCAGTGCGTACATGAATTGTTAAGTCTGTCCAAAACTTTCTCATGAGGCCATTTATAATGGCGTACAGAGATCAATCTCACGAAAAGTGGCTAAAACAAATATCTCTGTTGTTTTAACATGTAAACAGACTGACTGAATCAGAATCATGATCTGACGGTGTTCTTTGAACTGACACATTTCTCCTGACATATATTTAGTTTCTGCACAATTTTACCAAGACAGCATAATTCATTATTAACCATAACTGACAGAACTGATTGTGAAATAAACACTTGTCTCAATCTAATGTCACAACAGTTCCTGGTGACTGTGGACTGAAAGTGTTCAAAGAAAAAGCAAATAAAACATCTTTTGGATTTAACCTGTGAGGACGGTAGTAAACTGTCGCTGTACACTGCACTCATTCATGTCATAGCAGCATGTGCCAAATGCCATGCACATATAGTCTTTGATAAAGTAGCAGAATTGTTTTTTTTAACACTTTAATATAAATCAACCATATCTGAATAGGATAAATAGATATTGTGCAAAGCCATAAGCCAGATACTTAACAGTGTCTGGAAAACAACTTGAGTGCTTAATCATTTTATAACTCATGATCTCTAACATCACCCACAATGATCACTTTCAAGATGTGATGCAGTAGCTCATGTACTTCAGTCTGGTCAACAAGGTGTGATCAGGGTGAAGAAAGGCACAATACAATGAGATAACACCAAAATCAGGTTTAAATATAGCATAAAGTGTTAGTGTTGGTTTGCAGTTTGATGGGGTGATGAAAGGGAAAATGTTGCGGACTTGTAGAGACCCTAACCTCTTCAGTAATCTCTAAAATTGTGGCAGTGATACTCGTACTCCTTTCCTAGTGAGAAAAACATTCCATCAGTTTTTCTCACATTTGAGAGAAATGTGCAGGTCATTAATGTATTCTACAAAATAGTTTAATATAATCATAGTATTCTGGCAGGTATCAGTGCAACAAAAGCAGTCATAGAAAAGAAAAACAAACATTTCATACATAGTCCCACTCAGCATTCACACAAATAAAGGCCTTCATTTTTCACTTACTTATTCAATTTACTTCCAAAAAACACAGGGTCTCTCATGTTTTCACTCTCTCTCACACATACACTCAGATCTGTCAACCAAACCCCCATTAAAAACGAAAGTGCATTTCTAATTCACGGACAACTCCTCAAACACAACTATTCAACTTGGACCTGGTTTTTGAGTTTGGTCTGCACTTCGCATTTTAAGAAACAATCAATTGTACACAGTCAACCCAAAGATGGTAAAAGCTTTGCAAAATGTAACATTTGTTAGGGAATCATGAAAAACATTACAACAAGGCATTAAAAACTCTACAGATTCCATTGGAAGCGAGCCTTCTTCATTCTTCACATTAATTTTTTTTATTTTTTACATTATTTCTGTTAAAGTGCACGAGAGGGGCAAGTTTTTATGCTATGGACTAAAGTCAGAATGGTCTACTATAATTTGTGCATCAGGTTTGAATCCTGAATTTTGGAGCAAGGCACATCTGTGGATGAAAAAGTGATTTGGCTCTTCATCTATTTTAGAATACATTTAATTCAAAGTGCATTTTAAATAGATTTGTTGTTCCAAGTGCATTAAAAATAATAAGGATTACGATTATACGTACTGTACCAATGCCTCTTTGAAATATTTGTGTCAGGTTAACATCATCAGTGTCCCCTTTAGCTTGTATGCAGACCAAACCCATCCAGGTCCTTGTCTCAGTGTAAAAATAGCTATAGGTGTAGCAGGTTGTCCACGCTTTACCCTCAGTCAAGGATGTGCTCTCCGCGGACAATGTGTGAAGAAAATTCATAGCGGTCCTGACTTCGGTGGCCACAGATGTTACACTCAAAAGGCTGGCGAAAACCATGGCAGCCCATGTGGATGGTAAACATGACATGGTCCAGGAAAAGTACACGGCAGTGCTCGCAACGGAAAGAACGCACAGCCCGCCCCTCCCCGTCTACAACCCTAAAAGCCTCCCTCGAAGTGGAGGAGGGTGCGGTAGGTGAGCTGGGAGTTGGAGCGAGGGCAGGAGGAGGGGGGGCTGAGTGGCCTCCATCCTCTCTTTCCACCTCCCTTTCTTTGGCGTGGCTGGGGCTGTGTCTGTCCCGGCTCCTGTGATGTGCAATGGGAGGAGGCACTGGGTTATGGTTGTTGGAGTGGACAAGATGATGGCCATTGTTACTGTGCAGGCTTGGAGTCTGAGCAGTACTGTTGCATGGCTCGTCCGGCATGCTCTCTGTGTCTGTAGAGTCCTGGCAACCATTGCTAGGTGAGGGCACATGACTTCGACCGACAGGCAGGTCTTCATGACCCTCTGCTGCCTCCCTTCCCCCTACACCCACAGCTCCCAGCCCAGTTCCTGTCCCTGTACAATCCAGCCTCGGGCCTAGAGCAATGGGGGTGTGAGAGGAGCTGTGGATCGGCCTGAGTTCCGACAGACATGAAGGGTGAGTGGTGGGAAGGTGTAGAGGTCTCAGTGTGTCTGATACCCCTGCTCCATTACCTGCTATGCCTGTGTACTCTCCTCCCAGACCAGTAAAGTGCGGGGCTTCAAGGTCCCCTGTGTGCATCTCCCCATCTCTATCCAAACCAGCACTGAACTCATAAGGTGCATCTCCAAGGTTGAGGCGTATGTGCTTCTGTCCTACAATTGAGAGAGACAAACTTACGATATTATACAATGGAAGTCTGTGGAAGATGTCACAACACCATTTTCCAAAAAAAATCTTTGGAAAGCTTGCATAGATAAATAAACAGCCTGCCAGTTTTTCAGATCCATTCTGAATAGCATAATGATGCTGGTAGTTATGTTGAGTTTCCAAAACTAAAAATGGATCTATTTATTTTAAGTCAAATGACTGGAGTGTAGTCCTGAAGCTATGGGTGAATCAGATGTGTCCAAACCAAACAATTGTTGGTAAGCTATGACAAATCATACAACTTGAATAAAACAAATGTGAATAAAATCCTGAAAGCTGGTGGTCACATCATTAGGACAAAAAGATCAGTCCTAATGCACGTGGTATCCAAATCAAGCAATGAATGCTGCTTTTAAAGTTTCCTGAACCCGTCCACACTGAGACCAAATGCTCACCTACAAATTTTTGTGGTGTGGATCTCTTGCGTTTGGTGATGCTGTTGGCGAGCCGATCGATAAATGCCATCTTGTCTGAGGAGGGTTGCAGTAGAGAGTCTGGTATAAACTCTAGCTCTCTCATCTCCTCTCCTGCACAGAGTACAAACAAACTGTGATGTTATTTTTGGGGTTTTCTTATTACTCAGACAGCATTTATCCCAAATGTTTAAGTTGTATGCTGGTTTTCATTAGAATTTAAACCACGTTTTGGATATAAAGTAAAAGTGACTATAAGTGGGGGATTCTGTTCATTACTTTGTTAGGGAGGTAGACTACATTTCTACATTAGATGCTTCTTACAATCCCTTTCGAGACTGATATTTGCAACACTATATTATGATTTAGATTCCTGTCTTATCTGAGAAAGTGTTGTTTACTTCTGATATGTCATGTCGATTAATGTCATAAAACACATACCTGGAGTCTGTGCACTGGATGGCTGCTGTGACTCCAGACTCTGCAAGTAGCTGTGGCAACGCTCACGGTGCTCCTCCAGGGTACTCTGCTGTTTGTAACTACGGCCACAATAACTGCACTTATACGGCTTCCCTACAGTTGGAGAGGACACTGGGGAGAAAGGAATATAGCATTATTATTGTCTAAACTTGTCTACTATTTTAATCAAAACAGTCACTCGCTAAGCTTGAATCTGTCCTCTACCTGCATGAGTGCGAAGGTGGCCAGTAAGTGCATCTCGTCTTCGACAAGCATAGCTGCAGAAGGGACATTTAAAGGGCTTTTCCCCTGAGTGCAACTTGATGTGACGGAGCAGGTTACCCTTTTGAGTGAAGGAGGCGCCACACTGATTACACTGGAATGGTCTCTCACCTGGGAATAATTAAACCTGTAAGTCCAACTTCTCTGTTACATTACAATTATCAGAGCAGGTCTTTCCTGCGATTCATTCTGATTAATGACCAGTTTCAAATACATTTTGCACAAGCAAGGTTTTTAGCTCTGCATAATCAAAATTTTTTTTTGTTTTTTTCACTCCAATGTAACTATCCATCAATACAGGATAAGTACTTGTGTCAATGGCATACAATACAACAAATTGAAAAAGGTGTCTACAAGACATATCAAAATCTTTTAAATCTATCCAATTTTACTTAACAAAAAGAAATGTTTTCTCATGGAAAAGATTTTTGTGAACTAAACTGATCAGTCACCTGTATGGCTGCGTTTGTGCACCATGAGAACATTAGGCCCAATGCAGATCATTCCACAGACGTCACACTTGAGCTTTCCATTTGGCAGCCTGGTGGCTCCAGTTGGCATGGTTTCAGGATTGGTGAGCTCCCTGAAGCCTCCGATAGCCTCTGATCCCTGCTCTGGACCTCCTTCCTCTACTCGCTCCCCTCTTTCATCTTCAGTACTACGACCTGGGTCTTCATCACTGTACAACTCCACTTTAATGGAGTTGGCTAAAGAGATGCAGGAGCAAAAATAAAGTAGGCCTTAAATGAGATTGTCAACCAGCATGTAGCCAGAATTAATTGACTTGATAATTAACTTAGTTATTAGAGCAGGGCTGTCTCAGTAAGCTCATCTAAACTTGATATTATTAAGAGTATCCTGAATAACAAAACAATCATAAACCTTTTGCAAACATTTGACATGTCACAGTGAAAGTGAAATGCAGTTCCATTATATATTCTGAACTAATAAAGATGAGACATGAAAATAATTAAGATTTTGGATGTGATTAACCATTGTATAGTCCACTTTGTGGAATTCACACTTTTTTTCCTCACTGACCACTGAGCGAGCGAGTAGGAGAGGTCTCCTTGCTGTTTGGAGTGCTCACTGTTGGACCTCCAAGGGCCCCAGAAAACTCTCTTTCCATTGAAGAGTCTCCACTAGCTGCAACGAAAGAGAAAACAAGCAAGATCTATCATTTAACCACATGTCAGCCTTTGAAGGTAAGTATATTTGTGATGTGATAGACCAGAGTCCCACCTGATATGTAAGACCGGCCATTGCAGTCATCAACATCCATACTAGTTCAAGCAGAATACTGAAATAACAGTTAATGGAGGTTAAGATCAAACTCAGTTATCTCTATCACACATTCACTCGCGCACCGATTCAATTAGTCAGAACTTAACATAATCACATTTGTAGAAACCTTTAAAATAACAGGAGAACATACAGTAGTTATAGGTGCAGGTCCAATTTGACATCACATTATGAAAGGAAAGTCCTGATGTATTTCTAAATTGAGAAATGATTTACAAGTTTAATTACATTATAAAATTTCAATGACCAAAAAAACAACAAAAAAAAGTACAGAAAAAAGGATAACACTAACAGTTAGCCGGAATGTTAGCTAACTACCGTTAACTTGTCGATGCAATTTCAGTAAGGCCATACATTTTTAACTGCACCAATATTTAAGCGTAACATTAGCCCACTAACCATAAATGTGCTGAAGATTAGCCAACGTGGGTTAACTAATTGTACCATAAAATCATTAACTAGGAGCTAAGTTAGCGCCAACTTTAACCTTAGCTGCTACAGATCAGCTGATTGACTCAGTAATAAATAGGTTGACTCATGACAACACTGACAAAGTAACTTAACGATGAGCTAATCGAACAATAGGCGCATCCGAGACAAATGAGTCTGAAAACCAGGTCGTAGTACAGAAAGACAGCGTTTACATAACGGTGGCGTTGAGATAAAGTTTACGGTCGGCCTTGGCTGCTAACGTTAGCTTACTGCATGTGATGGAAATTACCGTTAGCCATATTAGCTCAACTCAGCACTATAACGTTACAACAGTCTGTCATCCTTGACAGCTTATTAAAAAGCACGGCGCAAAGTTACACCTAAGTACTGTTGGCAATGACTCAAGTTAGACAACAGTGACTTGTGGCTGCGTAACGCTAAACTGGACACTGAAGTCTCTATGACGCCTTGTTGAACGGTAGCATAACAAACCACCATTAGCCTGTACTATCTTAGCTAGCTAGCCACCACAGCCAATGTTTCCTAAACCGTTGCTATGGCACCCACCGCCTCCCAAAGTGCTATGGCTAACCAGCTAGTGTTTAGCTAGCTGGCTAGTCTGCTCTCCCTGAAGCCTTGAAGCTTTGCAACACAACACAGCGGAGGCAGGCCATAACAGAAGTACTTTTTACGGTTGCCCGGTTCTCCCAGAAACTGTTGCATTACCTGTCGCTTGCAGGGCCGTTCCAGTGAGATTATTCTGTATTTTCATCAGCCTGTTTATGACGGCGGCATCTCCCGGTAGCGTTTACCTCCAGCTCCAAAGAATTTCCGGTGACATCCCGAGCGTAACTGCCTTTGAGCCAGCAGCAGCGAACGGGCTGACATGAGCTACAAATCTGCATAGAAACTAAGAGAAAATCTGCAAGCAAGACTTATTTATATTGTACCACGCCTTATTTCTCATTGTGATGCTTCACTGTCTGAACGCTGCCGGCTTCTAATCAGATTTCTCAATACTGAACAGAGCACAAAATTGTATCGAGGTAATAAAGCACAATGCCCTTGTAGTACATCGTACCCTGGGATCTAGGTGTTTGAATAGCTACTTCTGTGACTTTGTTTTTCTTTAGAATAATGTATTGTGGTCAATCAAAAATATTCTTGTTTATCCTTTGAAATTTTATGATACCAGTGCCAATACAACACCTGGGTTTTGCTACCAAAAGAAGCATATACTACAAACTTAGGTATATGACAATTTTCAATAATTTTCAACACAATAATAGATTATAGATGTATTATTATATTTTCTTAACAAAAATCACCCATACAACAACTTTGCCTCAAATTTTGCAAAAATATATAAAAAAAATAAAAATCTGATCAAAGAAAAAATAGGCCTAAGCAAAACTTTTTTTGGTTGTCAGTTTTCAATACTCTGTGCTATTTCAGTCGGTACTCAAAAAGTATTGAAGATCCATACCCAACAATAAATGAAAATGACAGACTCAGAACAATATAAAGTTAAGATAAATATATAACAGTTGCCTGTTCAAGAATGATCTCCACCATATAATATGTCTATGTTCCAGGAGAACACTGGGTTAGTAATAGTTCCTTTAAAGAACATATAGGAGTAGGGATCAGACTCGGAGGATTAATTGGAATGAATGGGTGGGAATCAAAGCATGTCATGTCTATAGCAGTATACTGTTTATTTCACAAACAAGATGTAGGTGAATATGTTGACTGTTTTAACCAGGACACACTAAAGCGGTCACCAGATATGAGTCCAATGTCCTTACCTTTTGAGACATTTTTGCTTGTGACAATCATTTAGGAGGAAGCCATATAGATTTTTGGAGGATTTTTGAAGGCCCAGACTGTATTTGACTAGGACATTGTACAGTTTGTAATGTGCAATATGGTTGAAGAACATTTGTTTTCTTTTTGCCTTCTCACATTTACTTGATTTTGGCAAAGAAACCCCATTCCACACGGTTCAAAGTTTTTATAATTATAATGTCTGAACAGATAGCTCAGGCACCAGGATATTCAGACATGGAAAACATTTTTCAGAGTCCTGATTTAACATAAAGTAATTAAAACAAACTACAGTTTAACCAGCTATAACAGTAAAATGCTGCTTCATGTTGATGCATATGCATTAACAATAATGTCATGTATTGGTGCCATTTTTAGATTCTCGAAGCATATTTTATAAAAAAAAATAATACTTCTGTACTTTTACTTGTGTAGGGTTTTGAATACAGTATTTTTACCTCGAGTTGTACATGGAGTTTACAGTACTGTGCAAAAGTATATGAGATTTGGATTTCTATCCATCATACAACACCATCAGGGAGGCATCTGATCAGTCTCAAATTCATTCTTCAGCAGGACAACGAGCCCAAATACAGCCAGAGTCATAAAGGACTATCTTCAGAGACAAGAAGAACAAGGAGTCATGCAGCAGAATCCTGATGTCAGCATCATGGGTCAGTCTAGAATTACATGAAGAAACAGCCGAAATCCATAGTACGGGCATTTCTCCGACAACCTACCTGTCAAGTACCTTGAAAAACTGTGCACAGGTGTACAAGGGAGAACTGGTGCTGTGGTCACAACAAATATTTTATCTAGTTTTTTTTCATTTACTCGACTTTGCATGAAGTTAACTGATAAAAAACATTAATGGCATTGTTTTTTTAAAAGCCTCACTTTATGTAGCACAGTACTGTATGGACAATAATATATTGATACGTTTTTTTTACTTAGTGTCTGAATACTTCTTCCACCACTGTCCTGGATCACAATTTGTTTAGATTGAGGTTGTGGTCGTTCTTTAAATTTGACAGGTCTGAAAAACTATGTCATACTGCTGTAAGCTGGAACAATAAAAACTCACATGCTTGCTGATGGTAAAGGACTGTGACTCTGGCCTGAAGTTCAGTCTAGAAAAGTCTAAAGGGCGTCTGTCTGAAACAGGTTGGGACATACAAAGAGTGACCTCTACTGTACAAACTGTCCAGAGTGCTGCTCGTCCATGTCACTCCTGACGTACCCTGTTTTACGACGGTGTGCTTTACACTATGACAGTTTCCGTCAGTTTCACTCGCGAGTCGTAAGCGCGTAGAACAAGCCTTTTGTCGTTCCCAATTTCAGTTGAAACGAGAATTTCATTATTTGAAACCGTCGATCGATATCGATGACTATATCAAATAGAGGAAGGGGGCAGTTTTTTAGATAAGTACAAATTGTACTTGCCATAGTGAAACTTTGACGTTTCAGCTCGAGGCCCAGCGGAGAGCTCGAGCGGCAGCTCCGAAAAGTTTGTTGTTGTCACGTGACGTGAGACGAATGTGGCGATAAAAGTTTGTTTAGATTGTAAAACTAGGCGACGTACTACATTATCCAAATCCACTGAACACCGTTTCACCACAATGCCTCAACCAAAATATCGAAAGATTGCTGTTATTGGTTACAGGTCTGTAGGTGAGTAAAGCACACAAGCTCGTGCACAGCTAATGTTAGTCGGCTAGCTGGCTAACAGGCTAACGTCCTGGCTTTGTTTTCCCCGAGTGTATCCGACTCTCACCAGTAACGCTAGCTCACCTTTGTTCATGTTTCTTTGTGTTCCATGTGTTTGCTGCGCTGTTGATTATCGATCTACACTAAAATCATCCGTGTCTTACCGTATAGCTGTAGCTATAAGTTACCAGTACAACGTGTTCTGTTAAAATAAAGTTAGCTCAGTCGATGATGTCCTGGTATGGTGCGAGGGGCTGTGTGTCTCTAAACCTTTAGTGTAGCATGTCAAACATAACAAGTATGTGATGTTGAAAAGTTAAGGAAATCAGTCTATGACCATATTTACCTCCTACCAAGTCCCCAGTCGTTAATTTTCTAAAATGTAACTGTGTGGCCGATGTTGCAACAAATTCTGTGACCCAAAAGATTATGTGATCCCAGGAAGGAATATCAAGCATATTGTTACTGCAAACGTTTTTTTTAATCATACTCTAGTACATCATTTATTGTGAATGGAGGTATTATCAAAATGGGGCCTTCATAGTATTTAGGTAAGGCCGAATGATGATTTAAAAAAAGACCCGTGGAAAATTTGACAGCTGTGGGAGAGAGTGTAGTGTCTAGTCCTGCCTGAAGAGGACAATCATTTCACCTGTTTCGATCCTTTGGGTAGTGTTATCTAGTTGGTCCTCCAGCATCACAGAAACCGACACGTCACACTTTTGAGATCCTATCCAAATACTACAGCGGCACTATCTTTCCCACCTACTGTATCAAATAAAGTTTGTGACAAAAAAACATTTGTCATTGACAATGTAGTTGAAATTTCTGATCAAGTCACAGAATTTAAATGGTCATAGAAATTGGTTCAACACTTGAAATTGGTAGTGCAATGTGATAAAATGTTTTGTTCATTTAAAGGCTTGAAGCCATAAGTAAGTCTCTACATGGACATAGTATTTGTGTCTGTTACAGTTACATTTTGTAACATACAGGATTGTTACAAGGAAAGAGATGGTTTTAACATTGTATTAAAGTAGTAGTAAATCAGCCATGTTATGTTTCTTTGCTCTACACAGGAAAGTCATCTCTTACAATACAGTTTGTGGAAGGACAGTTTGTTGACTCCTATGACCCCACCATTGAAAACAGTAAGTGTTATCATTAGGTAATGTGCAAGATATTCCAGCAAAGAAAGTCACATTTTAGCTTAGCATCTTGTTTAATCTAACGGTATGTTTTTTAAAATGAGCAAATCTCCTTTCCCAGCCTTTAACAAAATGGTCAGCGTGAATGGCCAAGACTTCAATCTCCAGCTGGTTGATACAGCTGGACAAGTAAGTTGTTCACCTACCACCATAACTGACAGAAGCACTAGACTCTTAGCTTTAAATCAACACTTTTGATCTGTTAATTCCTAATATTTAACCTTAGGCGCTGCTAGTATTGTGATGTGTACTCAGATGTCAGATTGACAAATTGTTTATGTGTTGTGTTTGGTAACAGTCCAACTCAGTGAGATTATCATACCCCTCCTCTGTCTGTAGGATGAGTACTCAATTTTTCCACAATCCCACTCTATGGACATCCACGGCTATGTCCTTGTGTATTCGGTGACTTCCATGAAAAGGTGTGTGGATGGTTTTGTTTCATTCATCTGTATGTATGATATTAGATTGAAAGTTGTTAGTTATGATACACAGAAGTTTTAAAACACTGTACATTAGTTAGACAGCACCATGTGTGTATTACAATTGATGTTTGGCTTGTGTTTTAACATTAACAGACTTAACTCTTCACAATACATTATTTGTAAACCACAGAGATTTATAAAGGTTTAACCCACTATCATATCTATATACCAGAGTGTCATCTAATGCAGTATAATAGCCATATAACAAGGTTTATGTTTAATTTGTGATACTATATCAGAGCGGGTTTGAATCAACTATAAGATAATTATCAAGGCTGTTGGTGTTTGTTGTATCCAATTGCAAATGTGCTTTTTTAGACTGGCAGCATATTGTCATAGTAAGTCAGTATTTAAAAGTATTTTGATGTCTGTCTCTATTCAGTTTTGAAGTTGTGCAGGTTCTACACGACAAGCTGCTAGACATGGTTGGAAAGATTCAGTAAGTTTAGTTGGCTCTTCAAAATTGAAAACTTCCAAATTTGTCTCACTTGATTTTCCAACTAATTTTGTTTTTCAACCATATTTTCTTTTTAGGGTCCCAACTGTTCTTGTAGGGAACAAAAAAGATCTCCACATGGAAAGGTAATCAAGATGAGTGAAAGTCCTATAAATATAAACTGCATGTGTAGGTTGTTACGGTCAGATAAAACAAATTCTGATAATACTATCAGACTTTTCACTTAAGACATTTAATTATCACCCAATAATTAATCATAAATTACATAATAAATGTAGCCCTTTGATGTTTGGGCAGTTAAAGGATGAGTCTGGTTACATTCTTCGTCTCTTAATGGCAACAAATTCCCCCAAAATTTACAAAGCATTGATCATACTATCAAGTAATGTCTGTGTTGCGAAAGCCTCATGTTCCTTATTCCATTGTTCCCAGGGTTATCAAGCCAGAGGAGGGAAAGAAACTTGCTGATTCCTGGGGTGCTGCATTCATGGAGTCCTCAGCCAAGGAGAATGAGGTAATGATAGATGTCTCTTTGAGCACAAACTCGTAGGTGTAGTCCACACAGTATTTCTGACACAGATTGACACTCTGCTGGCAATTTTCTTGCAATGCAGACTGCTGTGGAGGTTTTCAAGCGGATCATTTTGGAGATGGAGAAAGCTGATGGAAATGCAGCCCCAGAGGAGAAGAAGTGTGCTGTGATGTAAACGTGTATCCAGGACATCAGTAAGCTCATTTGCTGAAGACAGGAGGCACAACTTCACCGGCTTGCCAATCGTGACCTCACAGACACCGAGACACTGCAGTGGAACTTTTCTGCTCCATTGTAATACCAGATTGATTTACATAGCAGGGCAACTGCCCAGACAGTCGATAAACTATCCCACTCGTAACCAGAGGCAGAAATTTATAAGAGCAAGATTAATCTGTTTTAGACAAAGAAGCACCTTCAGTGAGCATGTTCTTTAAATATTGAAATGTAATCTATGACTAGGCAAAATCTTGATTTTGAGTTCAACCAAATCCTCAGAAAACAAAAGATTTTCCAATTGCATTAAATTTTTTCATGAACGTATTCTGGTAATTACTACTTGTAAATCTCATGTTTGAGGCATCATTGGCTTATGTCTCATAACTCGAAAGCTAATGTAAAGTTAATGTACAGTGAATGACTTTTTTTTAGGATGAGTATATTATTTCAGCAGACCTTTTTTGACAGTGATGCAGAGTCACTGTTCACATTGCTTTAAATGTGGTGTTAAAATGTCACTATTTCTCACAAATGGTGGATTTCCTTGAACACCCCGAAATGAGTTTTCTGATAAGAAATTTCACTGTGGTTTCACAGTTCTTCTCACTGTAATTTTTATCAACTCATCTTCAGGTACTGTTCTCCAATGAACTCTTGAACTGTGTCTTCATGACAGAAGAATCTATTTGTATATTTAACAACAAACATTTTAAGCTTTTCTGCTAAGCAGATAGACCTCTCTCATTGTTTCTACAGTTTAATTTCTCCTTACGGACCATAATAAAGCTGATATCTTATGGACAAACCTCAGAAACTTAGTATAGATTGGAACATATCATTGGTATTTACCAGTTATGGCCTTTTTTATACAATATAAATAGAATCTTAGAAATCGGTTTGATACTATTGGTTATATCTTGAGTGATGCAAGTTTGCTCTCCCTTCAGTATGATAAGTAGAGTATATGCTTATAAGCGCGTTATAATTATGAACATTGTTAAGTTGCAATTTTTAAATTGCATTTTAACACTGCATAAGACCAGTTAAGTGGCTGATGGCCACAGAGTTAGCTTAGTAATTTTTGAACTCTTGGTTTTGATTTGATGGTTCATGCAGGCTGGAGAAAACCGAGCCCAGATGGCATGCAGCCCATTTAATTGATATTGTGGACTGGCATGATCACTGCCAGACACTGACTTATTTTTCTTAGCTTGTGTAGCCTTACAGAAACACAGACTGTGGATTTTCCCCCACAATCCTCATGTTGTGCCTGTAGTGGGTAATTGTAACTTTTTATCAAGTGCTTTGCTGAGTAAGTAGTTGACTGATGGATGATTGATGATGGTTGAACAGAAGCTGGTGATGCTGTGTCTTGTGCCTTACAGTTCTTCAAACTCCCTCATCTGCCTCCCTTCATGACTCAAGGTGCTCTTTAAAAGTTTTTTTTCCTTCTGTTGACTTGATACCAAGGGTGCAGGTGGTGGTGTGCACCTGAAAACCAATATTCCCTTATGGGTCAATGTTAATTCAGAAATCTTGCTGTAAACAGTTTTGTATATAAATAAATCTGTTACTCATTTAATGTGTCTTTGTGCTGATTTTGGCAGCATTATTTAGGTAGCAAAAAGCAAGGCTGTCTATACAGTGTATTACTGCACAGCCTCCAGTGCAGCAGGGGCGGTGGATTACGGCCAATGAACCAGAGAAGTTATAAGGGCATAAGGATTTTGGACGTACTACAGCAGTTGGTTATATTTCACTGAACTGTAGCTTCATATGAACGCTATTTTATTGCAAGCAGACACGGCATCTTGGTTTGGGGGTTATACGACTTATAGTTTGCTTCATACTTGAGATTGCGGTGCCGTAACACTACGTGTACTACGGTAACGACTGTACAGTAAGTTATAGCGGAAGACTTTGGTTCTGCTGGACTTGCCAGTTGAAAACTAACCCAGCTCCAGGAAGGCGACAGATCGGATGGAACATGGAGTGTGTGAGTTATCTAGTTAACTTGAGCGTTTAGAGCTCAATAGCTTTCTAACTACCCTCTCCACCTAGGTTACCAACGAGACAAAGCATGTTAATGGTAGCAGCTAACCAGCTAACTACATGTTGGTAGAATAGTTATGAGGTTAGCTTGTTTGTTAGTAACTCCACTACTCCAGCATTGGAAAGGCACACACTTAGGGGAATGTAAACATAGTTTCAGCCCCAGTACCAGTGTAAATAATTTTAAAAACAAGACAGTTTACCACTTAATGTCTCACCAGGGTAAGTGACGCATAAGGCAGAAGCGAAATGGAAAGTCACCTCGACGACTGACTCGTTAATGTAAACAGTGTGACGCTAGCTAAAGCTAATGTTTGGCTAACGTTAATATTATGGTTTTGTACAACGTAGCGTTAAACAGAGTGCACTTAACTTCAACAGCGACCACACCGGGTCACTTTGACCTCCAGGCACCGTTAAATACTGGCAGTAATGTCAACTGAATCTTTTATTACAGCGGATATAACTAGCTGAAGCTAATTGTTACACGGTTTATTCAAGTGAGCAGAATTCTTGACTGACTGCAGTTACATGGAACCAGTACAGTTAGCTACATCCCACCAATGAAGTCATGATCAGTGAAGCAATGCGTATTTTGTGAGGCTGACCTGGGTAATAATGCAGTGGACCAGTTGTTAGTGAGACCATGACACATTCCACACTAATCACCAGTGGCGGAAGAAGTACTTTAACTTAAGTATCAATATCACAGTCTAGAAATTCTGTGTTACAAGTTAAAGTGATTGATTTCAAAATTTTCTTGAGCAAAACCACATAAGTATTAGTGTCGCAATATAGTATGCATGTATAGTATGTCACTATATAGTTATACATTATACAGAATGGCTCATTTCAGAATAATATACATTATATTATTGCATTATAATTATTTATACATCAGTGGTAACGCTGGTGCTAATATACTGCTGGTATATATTGTAATTTATTTGCTTGTTTAATATGTTATGTAGTAGCTGCCTCTACCCATAACCCTGATGGCTGGGGATTATGTTTGGGAAGTTGTCCAGACAAGCTGAAATTTAATGACATTTATTTGTCTTTCAGATTCCAGCAAATATTGATGATTTTGAAGCCAAAAAGGACCCAATCATAGAGGGTAAGAAACTTATATTTCATGAGACCAAAATGACAAAACAGTGACGTTTAAAAACAGTGAACAATAGTCTCCCTTGTATTCCTTCAGACCCAGAGCACAATGTGTACACCCGGTTTATGAAGTCCCACCGGTGTTATGACCTTGTACCTACCAGCTCCAAATTAGTGGTGTTTGACACATCACTTCAGGTAAAACAAAAGCTTTAAATAAAAACTGGAATCTATCTTTCATTAGCTAATATAGACTGAAAGCTTTGGTGCAATTAATGTTTCAGGTGAAGAAGGCATTTTTTGCACTTGTTTCGAATGGGGTAAGAGCAGCGCCTCTGTGGGACAGTAAGAAGCAGTGCTTTGTTGGTAAGAATAATTTTCATTTGGCTCAGTTTCATTATCTGAGTAAGAATGAATTAAATAATAGACTGATTAATTGCTACAAATTTTTCTCTGCAGGTATGCTAACCATCACAGACTTCATTAACATTCTTCATCGCTACTACAAATCTCCACTGGTAAGGTGGTTACCATCCTTGAATTGTAAGATTAGGTGTAACATTTTACAGCTTAAACGTGAACTGCAAGGTTATTTTGTCATAGGTGAGGTTTTACTAATATTTTGCTGAATGTGCCCATGCTCTCTTTTCTTTTTGAAGAGCTTGTCTTTACTTCTGTATTAGTTCATCTTAAAGAAGTCAAACCTTTTGTCTCTTTGTAATCTTTCAGGTTCAGATATATGAGTTGGAAGAACACAAAATTGAGACATGGAGAGGTAAAAAAGTTAAATGAATATCAGATGTATTTCTTGTCGTTTACACCAGTAATCTTGAAGGTAAACTATATTGTCTGTTATGTTTATAACAGAGCTCTACCTTCAAGACTCTTTCAAGCCCTTGGTTTGCATATCTCCCAATGCAAGGTGAGTTTTTAAAAATTGTTTGGCTAGTAGTAGTTCTTCAGAGCGTCAGCATTTTTGCGTGTCAAATATCACTTGAATACATGGTTGTTCCATGCTGGGACATAAAACCAGGGGGCATCTGATACTTTAATCTGTGGCTCTTTAACAGTAAGTGCTAACATTTCCAGTGTCCAAAATGCTCCTCCACACCTTATTCTTTTGACCAGAGTCTCTGTAAAAACAGGCATCAGACACTTATTGAAAATTCACTATGTCTATAATCAGCTTTTTCTACACTTACTAATAACTTAAGAACTTTATCAACATTTTAATCTTGTGGTTCCAAAGCTTATGTTGTCTAAACAAAGTTGCTAGGAAATTTTCTTTGTATCCATAACATTTATTATATGAATGCTACACTTAACCCACACTTAAAGTTAATACATTTCCTGCCAAGATGGAAACTAGCATTAGAAACTAAGATAGTTTTATTGTATTTATTTTTTCATTCAGCTATTTTATCTCACAACATGCTACATCCCAAATAACTTGATTAACTTGGTCCTTTCTTAACTTCTCTGCATTACAGTTTGTATGATGCAGTATCATCTCTGCTGACGAACAAGATCCACAGATTGCCTGTAATCGACCCCCTGACAGGGAACACACTCTATATTCTCACACACAAGAGGATTCTCAAGTTCCTGAAGCTTTTTGTAAGTCACTTAGGCTTCTCTCCTCACTGCTGCTACATTAGATACTGTAAATCATCTGCTGTTGTTTGAGTCTGACAGTAACACTGCAGAAATCAAGTCCAGAGTAAGGATTATTAGCTCCACTTGAGGAAACAGTATATTTCTACTTAACTTTTATCTACTTTACAAAGACATCTATTCCCCTGCAGTTTTAATCAAGTGTGTATATTCTCTTGTTACTTTTCAGATATCAGAAATGCCAAAACCGTCATTCTTGAGTCAAACTCTAGAGGAACTGAACATCGGAACTTTCAAGAACATAGCGGTGGTCCGCTCAGACACACCACTATACACAGCGCTGGGTATTTTCGTTGAGCAGCGAGTGTCAGCGCTGCCCGTTGTGGATGACAAAGGTATGTGGGCTTCTTAAAATGGCATCCTTATTGTGTTTGCATTAATGACTTCTTGAGTTTTGTTTATGTACTGAAGTTCTGTCTCTCTCTTGCAGGTCGAGTGGTGGATATATACTCAAAATTTGATGTTATAGTAAGTTGTCATCTTTCATTGTATACTCCCTGTATGTTTTTCTACCTTTTTTGCTTATAGGAAAATTGGATATTCTTTTCCAGTTGTCTTTCTTAAATTGAGTAAAGCTGCCAATAAAATTTATTGCCATTATCCATTTATACGTCAGTTATGTTCTCAGTTAATCTATTCATTAATCGTTTGGTATATAAAATATGAGAAAATAGTGAAAGGTGCCTGCTTAAATTTCCCAAAACCTAACATGATTCATTCAAATACATTGTTTTATTTGACCAGAAGTCCTAAACCCTGAAATGTTTATGTTTGCAATACAAGATATGATCATTACGCTAATATTGAAAGTATGATTGGGGAAAAGGTATTTTTCAATTTTATTTTTAAATAGTATTGTTTCTAAATAGGTATTAATCCGTTTTTATGTTTGAACGTGTTTGAATGTGCTATAAATCAATGAGAATTGCTATATGGCAAATTTTAACTTAATGGATTTTTTCTTTATCTATCTACATTTCTCTGAATTGCCAGAAAATGTATCACGATATGTATCAATATTGCGATGCAAAATCATTTATTGTGTGATAGAGGATTTGTCCATATTTCCCATCCTTACTTGAGAGATTATACTCTATTGTTATTTTGGCAGATGAATCTGATGGCTATAATTATAAGTGTATTTTTTGTGCGATTTAAGATGAAGACACACTATTAATTTAAGGGCCTGTGTATATACAGAACCTGGCTGCAGAGAAGACGTACAACAACCTGGATGTGACGGTGACTAAAGCCTTGCAGCACCGGTCTCAGTACTTTGAAGGAGTTCTGACCTGCCACAGGCACGAGACCCTGGAGGCCATCATCAACAGACTGGTGGAGGCTGAGGTGGGGGTTGGATGTCATTGTGTACTGTCTCTTGTAGCTGGTCCTTACTCCTGTAGCAGGTGTAGCTCACTCCTTACCATTACTGCACAGAATCACTGCTGCATAAGAATGAACTCTGCTTAGCTTTCTCCTATTACTAAGTCACCAAGATCTCAGACAGCCATGCTGTAATTCTGATGTCTGTTGCTCCTTAGCTCTCTTTTGTAAAATAAAAGACTCCTAACTTCCTTGTCTCTTGTCAACAATGCTGCTGTGTGTGCACAGTTGCATGCCGGGCATCAGTTTCTTACACATTCTTTTGGCCATGGTATAAATTCTGTTTTGCAGAGATAAAGGTAATATTGATGATCTTCTTTTGTGTCACTCAGGTGCACAGGCTGGTGGTTGTGGACGAGCAGGATGTCGTGAAGGGAATTGTCTCTCTTTCAGATATTCTCCAGGCATTAGTGCTTACTGATGGAGAAGAGGGTAAGAACTGTTTTTGTTTTTGGAGCTAGCACACTTTTTCGTAGAAAGAGGAGCATATTAAAATAAGGGAAGTACTTAAGTAGTTGTAAAAGTAGTGTATTCATTCACATATTTTCCTTAATGTGTCCATGGTAAAGTTTGATTTTTCTGTCCACAGGCGCTGCTTGAGGAAGGAACTATAGCAAAGCAAAGGGAAAGAGAGGGAATGAGAGCAAATATGTGAGAGGGGAATAATGACAGAAGGTTTTAGTTTCATCATCCATCTCATGTAACTGGGTTTCCTCTATTCACACAAGAAGACGTTTCCCTCTCTGCAGAAATATGAAGTTCACTACATTTTAGCAACCCAGTAATATATAATTTTAGTAATACAGGACATATACAGTAGAAGCTCCTGTAAATCGAGCCAAATTCCAAGTCACCAGAGAGTGATGAGAAAGATGCAAAAGCACATGAAACCTCTGAAGGAGGACCAGCATCATTCCCACCATTGTGGCTGTTGTCGTGCTGACCTACATAGAGATCGACACAACATTAATTACGCCTTTGATTACAAAGGTATTCCTGATAATATAAAGTAATCACCAGATGAAATAAGCAATCGGTTATCAGCTAAAGGAAAACTGATACCTGGATTGCTTTTCGGTGGCAGCATTTGTTCTCTATAATAAGGCTGGAATTTAGATGCACATTGAGCCTATCCAAGAGTAATATTTAACACAGTGTACCTTTGATGTGTGTAGTTGCTCTTAGACAACACCACACACCAATGTACATTAGACATTGCTCTGAGCCCTGTTCTTTGTACATATAAGTACTATGATGTTATCAGACTCAAATTATCTTGTTATTCCTTTTTCAGTTAGCTTGATTTTTTAAATGCAGGTGGAGCATTGAGCTGCTAATCTTTTTTAACCTGAACAACTACATTTTCCCAACTTGCAAAGACATATTGATGAATATATGGTTACTTAAGTATTTATCTGTGTGTGTCGTACATACTGTACATGCAGTACATACATACAGAAATTTGCTACATACCATTTCGAGAAGATGATTGAAAATGATTTAGTGTAATTTATCATTCAAACAGGAGGGAGAGCTTGGAAATTGTCATCAGTCTGCACTGAAAATAATTTTAGAGATGTAAAATTAAAAAGACGTGGTCATGGTCTTGCTTATTTTGAATAAGTGTGACCTTTTGCACATCTCAGCTTCAGGACCTGTTGCCCCAAAAATTACTCTGGATAATTTAAATGAAATGAACTGAAAAATGTCAACTTGTGAACAATTAAGTTAATTTGCCACAAATACCAACATGAAAAGAATCCGAGGACGTGACTTTTAATCTGTTGTGTAGCCAGACAGTAAAGTAGCAAACCTGGAACAGCACTTTCGGCTCCCAAGACGACCTCACTGGTGAAGTCTAGACCAGCATAGATGAATCTGCTATTAGAGACAACCGTTAATTGTGCTGTGTTGTTTGAGTGCATAAAGTCGAAATATTTATGGGTTTTATGTTTTGCCATTTTGTTTTCATGTATAACTAAATGAATTAAGTTAGACACAACTTTTTTTCTGCTTATTTTGTCTGCTACACTTTGGGGTTTGGCATTATTAGTGTTAAAGGGATTCGCTTATTGCTCCTGTGCTGCAAAATCTCATAAATATTTTGGAAATCTGGTCCATCACTTGAAAACTAATGGTCACAGTAACAGTTTCTGTATTATTCATTTTATGATTTATATGTTAGTGGTATGTATATGTTGTCAGAATATGAGATGTTATATCTTTATCAAAATCACTGAATACCAGCATTTCCTTTCCATTTTCTAAAGAGGATAGACCATTCACACACTTCCTGGTCTGGTATATATGAAACAGAATGTGTACAACTGTATGTAAATGCGCAGTTTTTGTACTAATCTGCATTGAGATTATAATTTAAAGGATGAGCAATAAAGGTTCTTTTAGTTTGTTTTAAATGGTATTAATTTTTAAATATATGCATCTTGTATACGACATACCTTTTGTAGAAAAATGTAACTGGGTAGCATGTGTGCTGTAATTTTTGTAGCTACTCATTAAACCTGCCTTAACTTTTTTTTTTTCTTTTTTTGCCTCCGTGCCGGTGACAGCTGTGGCCGGAGGCATGATGTTAAGTCGAGCTGTGGCCTGGAAAACCTAAACATAGAGCTGCAAGTTGCTAAAATGCTCCATAGAGCTGAGGAGAAATGCAGAGTCTTGTGACTTCATCACTCCAAGCAACCCTTTCATATACAACTAGTAATGTATCTATTGTTTATGTAAAAATATTTGTATAGCCGCTTTTCTATTTTCAGTACATGGGGTAGGGGATGGCAAAAATGAAGGAAAATAAAAGAAATAGACACAACGTAGGAAAACACTTGTATTTATTACTCTATTAGAAGATACATGATTGAAGTCCTGAAGGGATTTGTACATGGATGCAGTTGTCTCTTTGCCATAACTGGACAGAGACTTGGGAATTATCACAACCTGTAATATAATACCTCATTTCTTTCACTCACACCCCACTGTTAGAGCAAGGTATTAAAAACCTTAAATACACTATGCATTTTTAACATTGTAAGGCAGATACAACAAACATACCTCTTTAGTGTATAAGTATGAATGACATTCAACCACCTATTAAACAGCAGAGCTTCCCAGTCTTTCCAGCCAACAGCAACAGTATCGAGTGCCATCTGTCTCTTCTTACTAACATCCCATAAGACTTAAACAATACAGTGCAGGTGAGCAAGTGATTGTGAGTTAAAAAGTACGGGTTGGATACATTTGAGAGACAGCATTGAGTCATTTCAGTAGTATTAATTTTCAACATTTCTTCTCCCACAAACCCAAAGAAAAGTCAGATTTTTTCTGGTCCGACAGAGATTAGCATGATTTATGTAAACATTGTCATTTTCAGTGGCGTGATCTTAAATAAAGACTGTAGGCCATGACCAGAGATGATTCTGAGAATAATTTGGTTTTAATGCTGTGAGGTCAGTAGTAGTGCACATTTGGCCTTTCAGGCTTTCATAGGGACTTGCAGCCTACACATATACTGTAAATGACATGGGAAAGACTATACACACAAACAGTACCTGTTGAATTTGCATACAACTAACGGGAAAAGTGCATCTATTTCCTGAAAACAAAAAATGTAGACAGTGATTTCTGACAATGTCGGCACAAAGTAAATAAATCACATACAATTTACACATTGAGGAGGTAATGCATGGTGAACAAAAGGAGCCACAAGGGGAAACGCTGATTAAAAAAAAATCAAATATTGCACTGCAGTAACAAAGAGCTAAAGGAAAAAGTCAGCATAAGCAGTGTATCTGATGCATACAGTAATGTTACATAAGAGGTGAAAAGGTAGATTGGTACATATTTCTGTTTACAAACAGCAGGACAGAAGTCTTGGATTTTCTTCCCACCAACCAAAAAGCTGGTATAAAAGATTCAACCATCTAAAACATGACAGGTATCAATCAAATGTAACTCTCATATATACACAAGTTTCACCTTAAAAAGCTAGTTTATGTGCAGTAGTTATACTCCAGGGTGAATGAGCCCTGACGGCAAAAGAACACTGGACATGCTTTGACAATATGAAAAAAATACACATAAAACAAACTATTATTCAGATTCCTCGAGTTAGTGTTTTTAAAAGTGAGTGAAAACTATAAATTTCTGCCTCACATTTAATGTACAGTTTAAATAGTGGCGGCTGCTGCAATGGTTGATCTGAATATAGCGTTTAACAGCTTATCTGAGGGACTAGAGCCAATGTACACTCTCATTGCAGGTTATACTCTACGGGTTGATTGACAGCGGCTGCATTCAGAATAGGACACTATTATATAAACATACTACATATACCACTGTGCAACATGCTACATGTAGTGTTTTTGCATGTTAGTGTCCAGATCTGAAGCCAGCGAGTGTGTCATCTGAAGTATCAAGCCACTGGCAGCTGTTGCTCTACAACAAGTTGAACCCTCCATCCTTGTGAAATCCATTTTTATTTAATAATTTTCTAAATGTGTATTTTGCTTAAGCTGGTTTTAAACTGAGAAAACAGCTTGTTGATTGCTAAGCATAAAGAAAACCTGAGGTTTACAACAGCTTATGTGAAAGGCTCCAGGCAAGTGGTCCAAAGGCTAAATCATGTTTGGCAAGGTGCCCTAATACTCCAGGGTTTTGAAGTCTCAGAACACCTCACTGAGTCAATGGGCTGCTCTTACACAAACTGTTCTGTACATGTTAACATGGTAATCTGCATTTAACCAAACCACACTGTTGTAGCAGAGCTAGATGGACTATTCTCTGTGAAGTTTGTCATGTGCCTGTGTGCTATAAGTGTAGCATAGAGAAACCTACACAGTAGCCTCACAAACACCCATACATTAGATCTAGCCATTTAAATAACAGAATACGTAAAAATAAGTTAAAAACACCCCTAACCCTCCCAGCCTGCCCCCTTACAAAGAAAATAAGAGCGAATGCTGTTTGTTAACTATTAGGCAAAAGTGATCAAAGAGACTGAAATATCAGCAACTGATTTTTAAAATGTTAACTGGTTAATTACATATCCTGCTATTGACTGCATACCATCATACAGGAAATCCAAAGATCCTTGTTAGTATGTGTAGAGTGGAACAGAAAGGTTCAGGTAGGGCAGCAGTAGCTGAGGACAAGACAGGAAAGGAGTTCTTGGTAGTTTGGCTGGGTAAGCGAGGTAGGGTTTGTCGGAAATCAAGTGGCTTCAAAACTGGCAGGAGTGTCGATGGACTAATATTTTACAATGTGCCACTCTCCATCACATTCTCTTTCTCTGTGCGTTCTTTGTAGAAGGGCCCGGACCCTTTTCTCTAACTGTCCTATAGTCTGGAGCCGGGTCCTGCTCAGTGCTCTCTCAGTGGTCTGCTGACTTCGCTCAGACTTTAATGTCCTCTTGAATGCTGAGCAGGGACAGGGTCTTTTTGATTCGCAAGGCTGTCAGGCGGGCAGCTCCATTAGCATACCAACACTCCCTCATGATTTTGCCCATGACCCGCAAGGCCTGGAACAGCAGGAGGAAAAGGTATACTAGGACTTATTATTTGTCATAATATGGTTTGAATAAAGTTGATGGTACAAATGCAGCACAGGCACAGTATTTAACAACGGCTTCAAAGGATAGCTCCTGTTTATTACAACTTGGTCATTTTTTTGTAGTTTTTGGTGTCATTTTTAGTGTCTATGATAACATTGTACTCACCGCTGTGACTGTTCAGGTTTGGGAACACAGCTATATTTCTATGAATACATTTCAATGGGGCAAGACACACAAACAGTCCGACAATCAGACAGGTTGTAAATGTCCGACTGTGACTTGATATTTGAGGCCAAAATCAATATATTGGCCTTGGTCTTGTTTAATCCTTTTTATTTTACGTCATTTGTGAATCTTTCTTTTAGATTTCATCTAATTCTTTGTACGTCTATTATAAGTTGTGACACCTCTAGATTTTATGTTTTATGTGGTGTTGCTGTCTTGGCCAGGACACTGAAATGTGACCAAGATATTTAATGGGCAGGACAGTTTATAGTTAAAAAATAAACCTCGCTCTCTGTGGACAAACTATGTAACAGTGACACTGCTTCTAAATGATCTCAAACATATTGTAAAGCTTTCTTGTTATTCATCGCTCAACAAATACACACACACCGATTTATCTGAAATTGGTTCTATTTGTAAACGAGCCATCAGTTTTCCTAGGTTATCTAAACCTTCTAAACCTGAACCAGTTTTTGGAGGTAAAACCAAAAGTGAGTGCACTTGAAATGTCCACTCTCATGCAAAGGAAAAACTGTGTGTAAGTCACTCACTTTGGGTAACAATTATGACCCGTGGGACTTCTTTTTTGTGATGCTGCAGCATCCCTAGATGTGCCCCTAAACTGGTGAGTACAATTTTACCATTAGCAATAGGAATAACAGATAAATAATTAAAAGATAAGATCCTGGTTGTAATAAACTAGAATTACCCTCTAAAAACAGTGAAGATATTCAACAGTAATAACATTTTTATTTTCAGAAATGAATTGCATTTTCATACCTCATAGCTCTGCCACCAATTTGGGATGTTGGGTCGTAGCTTTTGGTCACACACCACCTTCCTCATCTCCTCTATGGAAGGATCAGAAGGTACCAGGTCATAGTAGGGCAGCTGGTACTCTTCATGGATACCTGATAACACAGGACAGTGTTGAGGTCAGCCCAGTGCTGTGATCTGAGCTTATAACACCGATAAAAAAAAAAAAACAAACAACACAGGTCGAGTATCCAGAGCAAAAACAAAAAGAGTCTGACCTCCACTGTTACAGCGGCGTGCGATCTCCCAGTAGACCAGCCCCAATGCGTAGATATCAGCACATTTGAATGAGTCAAAGTGTCTCATGTTGATAGTCTCATCCAGAACCTCTGGAGCCATGTACCTGTGAGATGTAAAAACAATCCCAGGTTGTAATAATGTACAGCATTAAAGGATATTCTGGGAAAGGTGTCAAAGATATGTGTGCGAAAGGAAGGTCAATGTTAAGTCAGCAAGTGTGTATGTGGACACAGACCTCTTGGTGCCCACCCTTTGATTGGGGGCGATGTCGATTGTGTCAGTGGCAGAGTCATGACGGACAGCCAGACCCAGGTCAGCAATAGCACAGGTGCAGTTCTTCTTCACGAGGATGTTCTTGGACTTCAGGTCTCTGTGGGCGATGCCTGGCTTTCCTATTAAAACATAAATGTACATGGTAATCACTTCTGAATTCTTATTTCTGTATCCATTTACTTTTTTGGGCATCAGTTTGGTTCATAAAAATAGAAAACAGGCATGTGCAGCCATGTATGTGACAGTGATGACAGCTAAGCATGATGACTTGGACTTGGATAGGAGCCCACGAACACATGC